CCCTATGACCCAGCAATAGCACTGCTAGGAATTTACCCAAGGGATACAGAAATGCTGATGCATAGGAGCACATGTACCCCAATGTTCATAGCAGCACTCTCAACAATAGCCAAAACATGGAAAGAATCTAAGTGTCCATCAACTGATGAATGGATCAAGAAGATGTGGTTTACCTAAACAATGGAATACTACATGGCAATGAGAAAGAATGAAATCTGGCCATGTGTAGCAACATGGATGGAACTTGAGGGTGTTATGCTAAGTGAAATAAGTCAGGCAGAGAAGGACAGATACCATATGTTTGCACATATAGGACGATTAGGAGAAACTTAATGGAGGACCATGGGGGAGAAGAAGGGGAAAAATAGTGGGGGGGAGAGGGAGGGAGGCAAACCATGAGAGACTCTTGAATGCTGAGAACAAACTGAGGGCTGATGGGGGTAAGGGGGAGGGGAATGGGGGTGATGGGCATGAGGGGGACACTTGTGGGGATGAGCATTGGGTACTATATGGAAACCAACTTGACAATAAACTATTTTAAAAAAAAGAAAGGATGAGATCTTGCCATTTGCAAGGACATGGATGGAATGAGAATATATTGAGAAGAAAGATAAGTCAAACAGAGAAAGACAAATACCACATGATTTCACTCATATGTGGAATCTAAGAAACAAAACAGATGAACACATGGAAAGGGTGGAGGAGGGGGAAGAAGAGAGAGAAACAAACCACAAGAGAGTTTTAAAAAGAGAACAAACTGAGGGTTGATAAAGGGGGAAGGGCTAGATGGGTGATAAGTATTAAGGAGAACACTTGTGATGAGCACTGGGTATTGTACATAAGTGATGAATTACTAAATATTATTCCTGAAACCAATGTTGCACTGTATGTTAACTAAATACAATTTAAATTTTAAAAAGGGGGGGAGGGGGGCTTGGGTGGCTCAGTTGGGTAAGCATCTGACTTCAGTTCAGGTCATGATCTTGCAGTTCATGAGTTTGAGCCCCATATTGGGCTCTCTGCTTTCAGCGCAAAGCCCACTTCTAATCCTCTGTCTGCCCCTCCCTTGCTCTTTCTCTCTCTCTCAAAATAAATAAACATTAAAAAAAAAAGTTATTCCAGTGGTGCTATGTTCTAGGCTGGTGTGAGATAGTTGGAGGAGGAACAAAACCTGAAAACACTAGATGATGAAACAAAATTCATTTGGCTCACATTCCACTGGAAGGGTGGGGCTGAAAAGAACATTAAGGTTGTTTTAAATGGCTCTGTGCCAATCTGTGCTCACTTAGTAAGAGATGACACCAAAGAGATAGAAAGATGTGAAATGACTTCTTTAGGTTCACAACCACAATTGACTAGAAAATGAATATGTAAGTAAAGAGAAATGAATCTATATATTCCTTCTGCTGGTTAAAAGAGAGCAAATATTTAGAATATCCTGGGAAACTAGAGGAGCAAAACTCGTTTTAAACAAGTCTTTCTCCCACACACCTTGCCTAACTGGTAGAAACATCTTCATAGGAACTGTTATCACTTGTATTAGCATTTGTATTTGAATTAAAACTCAAACAAATAGGAAACTCACATTTCCTGACTAACAACAGCTTTGGTGATTTGAGAGAAGTCTTAGGCACTACAAAAATGGAAATGAGCAGATTCTTTTCTGTTGGAAAATAATTTCTAAATAATAGTATTATTCAACTTTAGGATTTTTATCTGCATACTACTGATATGTCAATTATGCTTAGTATGCCCAAGATTGCCATTAGTGTTAAAATCATAGTTTTACTATCAGCTACATATTTAATATGCTTACTATATAATCTGCACAAGTTGGAATCAGATGAAGTTCTAAATATGGAGTGGGTTATTAGTCTACTTTGTATAGATGCCTAACTCTTGGGATATGGTTTTTCCTGATTTAGATCACTTTAATCTCTCTATAATGGTCACAAATCATCAGAGTAGACCTCAAGTTAAGTTTTCATATGGTACACTTTAAATGGTTTTCTTTTCATTTCTTTTCTTCTGCTTTTTATTTTTTAAGAGGGTACAACTCAATGATAATCACAAAATTAGGTACAAAAGTGGCTGGAAAAACTAACACTTTAGAATCCTATCTACGGCTCAGCACAAAGGGACTCTTTTGAATCTGAAAGCAAAATTAAGTGATTCCCAAATTTAAGTAATTCCCAGCTCCAGCCTGGACCTCTGTCCTAAACTCTACGTTTGCACCCATCAGCCCTCTTGAACATGAGCCTAGGACATCTATCTAATGGACCCCTCAAACTTAACATGTGCAAAACAGAAAGTTAACTTCTCTCTACAACCTGCTTCTCCCTGGACCTCCCCATTTTAGTAAATGGCAGAACGATCCTGTTTGTTCAAGCCAGAATCTTAGGAGTGTTTCTAGACCTCTCTCTTTTCTCCCTTCAGTCTTGTCATCCATCCTTTTCATTGCCAAGTCCCACTGACTTCGCTTCTCAAACACATCATGGATGCATCTAGCTCTCTTCATCTCCACCACACCCACACCCCAAGCCATCGTCTTTCATTTGCACTACTTCCATAACCTTTATGTTTGTCTCCCTGTTTCAACCTTAGCCCAACCTCTTCTCCACATAGCAGCTAGTTCTATTCTATAAAATATAAAGTAGAATATGACATTCCCCTGCTCAAAACCTTCCATCGTCTTTGTCTTGATACATTGAGGATAAATCCCAAATTTCTCACCATGCCCCACAAACTGTGACAAGGCATGGTCCTTGCCTGCCTCTCCACCACATGGCCTATAACTTCTCCCTCATTAATTCCAATCCCAGAAGCCAAAGACTTTTGCTTCTTAGACATGCCAACCTCATTCCTGCCTGGGGTCGCCTGTCTTTGCTGTGCCCTCTTGCTGAAGAGCTCTTTAGATGTTCTCATAGTGACTCCTTAGCCATTCAGTTTCAATTCGTATAAATCACAAAGAAACTTGTCCTAACTACTCAGTCACATTACCAGCTCCTATATATTGTTCCTATCAAAGTACTTACCACGTACCATTTATTAATGGTATACCTACCCCCAACCCTGAGGTCTGACCCAGACTTCCTTATTCTTCATCAGGAGTCTTGTCTCAAACCAGAAACAATGACCCCCTCCTCTACTCCCCTTCAAGCTAAATTAATCAACAAATCCCACTGAAGGGGGATATTTCCAGTCTATAATTCCAGCTGGCACTCAAATTAACTGTACTGTCATCAATTTACCTGTAACTCTCCCCAAAACCCTTCTCACTGAGTACCCTTATCCATCTCTGCTTCAACCCTATTGATTTTCAAATCATTCCTGGAATATTTTTTTTTTATTTTTTTTTTTTTACAAATAGTTTATTGTCAAATTAGTTTCTACATAACACTCAGTGCTCATCCCCAAAGTGCCCTCCTCCATGCCCATCCCCCCCTCCTGGAATATTTTTTAAATGCAAATGTGATCACTTCTCAGTTCAAAGCCAGTCAGTGGCTTCCCAGTGCACAGAGGATGAAGTTCACAATCATTACCATGACTTACCTCATTAAGTTCAGGCCCTCTGGCCCTGCCAACCCTATGTGTGGCAGCTCGCCTCCCTGTTATTCACGCATTAATCCAACTAGACACTTTGTTCTTCAACTATGGAATGCACTTTCCCACCCTAACTCCTCAAAATGATCCTATGCACAGGGCCAGTGCTGTCTCTCCCCTTTGCCTGGCTCATTCCTGCTCATCCTTCAGGTTGGGGTTGAAGACTCTTCACAGGGAAGTGTTCCCTGCTCTGTCCTTACTTCCTTCTAGCATTCCCTTCAGGGTGAGCACGAGTCAGCTGGGCAAACATGGGGACGTAGTGGGTCACAATGAATTCTTAAAAAGTGAATGAATTCATGAACAAATGAACAAAATAAGAAATAGCCTTAAAAACATATTAAAGAATACATGAGAAAAAAAGAATATATGAAATTCCAGTCAAAGCTTTATCTCCTTCAAGAAGAAAAGTCTACAAAGATGTTTCTTGCTCTGCAAGTCAGGACTCTGAGCTTCTGGAAAATTTCAAGATGTGAATCCCCTTTTCAAGAAACAACTTGCCAGCTCAAATAAGACCTCTCTGAGAGTGTACATTTAAGTTTATGAAACTAGAAAGTAAAACTATAAAGCAATGTGAATAATTTTTCTTAGTTGTTTAGGAAAATTACAAAGCAATAATCCAAAATCAGCTCAATCCCCACAAAGCCTTTAGGATTCAGAACAATGTGTTAAATTTAGCACACAAAATGTGAGAAAGCAAGATGAAAACTGTTCAGCAGATGATATAAACTGAGACACAGAATCAGGAGTCCCACTTCTCACATTCTTGGCATCTTTTGTCCACTGGCATGGACCTCTCTGACTATACATTTTATTTGCCCATCCTGAAAATAGAGCAGGTCCCATACCTTTATTATTATTTTTTTTAATGTTTTATTTATTTCTAGGAGAGAGAGAGAGAGACAGCGTGAGCAGGGGAGGGTCAGAGAGAGAGAGAGAAACAAAAACTGAAACAGGCTCCAGGCTCTGAGCTGGCAGTCAGCACAGAGCCCGACGCGGGGCTCGAACCCACGAACCGCGAGATCATGACCTAAGTGAAAGTCGGACGCTTAACCGACTAAGCCACCCAGGCGCCCAGAGCATGTCCCATACCTTAAGCACTTGGCCTCAAACAAAGGTGTCTTAAGTAGACAAAATGGACACTTTGGTTGACAGGCTCAAAGAACAGATGTGCATGTGAATGAAGAGCAAAACTGGAAAAAGGTCCTGTTGGCTGGATTTCTCTGAACAGCAGAGTTATAAAGGAGTGTCTATACTCCACAGCTTAGTAGCCATGAGGAAATGAAGACAAACCTTACTGGCCTGGTAACACTGCTCTGTCTCATATCTAGACGACTCACAAGCCAAATTATTTTCACATGAATAGCTTTGGTTGAGTCAGACAATAATTCATTTTGATATGATGAAAAAGCTGGGCGTTAGCAATATTTAACAGTATGAAAACTTGAAGTATATTATGCTTTGTCACTTAACATAGGATTAGAAAAAGTAGAGTATTATTAATTAATATAATTATTAAAAAGTGACTTCCCAATTTTAAAAAAAAATCAATGAGGGGTGTCTGGGTGGCTCAATCTGTTAAGTGGCCAACTTCAGTTCAGGTCATGATCTCGTAGTTTGTGAGTTCAAGCCCCCCATCGAGCTCTGTGCTGACAGCTCAGAGCCTGGAGCCTGCTTTGGATTCTGTGTTCCCTTCTCTTAGTGTCCTTCTCCCACTCATGTTCTGTCTCTCTCTGTCTCTCAAAAACTAAATAAACATTGAAAAGAATTTTTAAAGAGTCAATGAATGCTTTATCTTGTTATGCTTTACCAATGACCTTAATAACAGATTCCACTTTATACCTGTAAATATAGAGATAATGTAGACTTTAGCAGAATTTGTGTCTTTATTTTTTTCTTCCCTACAAGAAACTCTGCCATTTACTATCACCTCCACAAAATATGATATTAGCATATGTCTCTGTCTGGACCAAATATGTACACAGTTGGGCCCAAATCAAAGGTCTCTTTCTCTTTCCTTTATAGTGGACTTTCAGGAAACACAATAGATAGTATAAAAAGATTTGTAATTTGGTATCAGACAGACCTGAATTTAAACCCATCTCACCCACCTCCTAATTGGATAAATTACTTAATCTCTCCAAATCTGCAATTTACTCATTTCTAGAATAAGTACAATAATCCTAAACTTCAGAGTTGGTTTAAGACTCAGAAGGGCCACACTGATTGCTTCTCATATCGAAAAACTCTCATGTTGATTGAATAAAGCAATTTCAGACACCAAGATACCTAATTGGCTCAGGATCAATTTGGAGGCAAGAGAGCTGCCCTCTGAGTTCCTTAAATTCCATCACCTCGGCAAACACAGAACTGTGAATCTATGTCTGCTGGCTTACCTCTGCAGCGTATCTCACTCCATCCACCACATGTTCAGAGCCATGATCATCAGCAGACCCCCAGTGCAGGTGAAACTGCCGCAGCCTGTAGTTTCCAGTGAGGGGACCCCCACGCAGGACTAAATGGCAATGCGTTTTCAATTGTTAGCAAGAAAAATACTCTTTACACATGCTACTATGACCCACATCATCTCCCTGAATTATTCAACATGCTCAGGTCCTCCAAGGAAGTTTTTACAAATGTGTCATTCAGTTTGTGGACAGGAACACAACTTTTAGGTATATGAAGAGCGAAAACAAACATTTTAAAAGGTGTGAGAGTCTACAATACAGATTTTTACGGAACATCTGGGAAATCACAATAGACACAGTGGTTGGAAAGTAGAAGAACTTAGGAGTTCTTAAAGATAAGGGATTGGTCTGTTTATTGGAGAATGTCGGCCTCTCTGAATAAGGATGTGATCTGTAAAGAGGGCCACTTGAACTTGGTAGAGCAGCCCAGCATTATGGTTAAAGAAGAGTCTCCTGCACTGAGAAGACCTAGGTTTAGGTTCTTACTGTGTAATCTTGCATGAACTCTAACTTCAAAGCTTTGGCTTTCATGTCTGTAAACTCAGGAGAGTAATGCTCCCTCCTAATGCTGTTTTGAAACTAAGAGAAAAGTTGAATACAAAGGACTTATCACTTCCTGACACACAGTGAGAACACTGGACATGTTCACTATTATTACTATTTTATTATTGTTGGGATTACTAGAAACATTGGCCAACTAAGCACATCTTCTGTACTTAAATTCTATCTTCCCAGGGAAATCTGGAATACAGTGCAAAATTAACTCTTTCCTGGCAACAGAATCATATCTTAAGTATATTAAGAAGCTTAATATAAAACATAGCTCTAACCTGTTGCCTCCTAATTAATCTTCATTGGACATGTTTAAAAGATGTGGGGGGATAAGAAAGCATCAGATACACCATACACATCACTAATCTCCCATCAACATCCAGTAGAACTAAGTGTTAGATTATAAGGTGTAGCCTTAATAAAAGTTTGATTTAAATGACCTTCCTCTTCAGAGATTTCAGATAGGCAGACATATAGAGATACGGAGAGAGAGAGATCTCAAAATTTGTCAAAAATGATCCATCTTATATGTGAAGGAAAAGAGGTTATGGGGTGCCTGGCTGGCTCACTCATTCGAGCATGTGACTCTTGATCTCAGGGTCAAGTTCAAGTTTCACATTGGGCATGGAGTCTACTAAAAAAAGAAGCAGAAGGTGTTAAGAGGTATCACACGCAGTAAGGAAGAAAAGGGAAAATACATTTGCCTAAGGCACACCCCTCTTTGAGCTCTTCTGTGGGAGAGAAATGATCCAGATTGCTGCCTCTATTAACCAGTACAACTGAACTCATTTCTCCCTTACTCAGTTTGACTCAGCAGAAGTTGAACATCAATGATTAAGAGTTAGTGTGGTTGGAATCCACAAATTTGGGAATGGTCCCAGCTCAGCAACTGAATTATGTGATCTTTCAAAATTCACTTAAGCCTCTGTGGGCTTTAGCTTTCTTGTTTATATTTGTGTTCATCTGTCTGTCTATTTTTAATTAGGAGACTGGCCTGGATGTTCCTTGACTTCTACAATTATCAAAATTACCAAGGGGAAAAAAATGAGCATATGCAATACTTTTTTTTTTTCTGGAAGGGTGAATGGTTGGAGCTTTCCTTAGATTTATTTGAATCCAGATTTTTTTTTTACAATAAACAAAGATGACTATTTCCAAAACCCTGTCAAAAAAAGAAAAGAAAAGAAGCATTTACATCAGAATCTAAGGCTTGCTCTTCTGTTATACTGTAATAAGCAGAGTAATGTTAGTGCTTTGAGTCTCCCACTGGACAGTGTTCTTGAGGGCAGAGACTGGATCTCTGCTGCACCCATCACCTAGCATGTTACCTATCACAGAGGAGATGCATGATAAATATTTGATGAATGAATGAATAAAACATTTGATTTGTCTTTAAACAAACAGTTTTAAAGATTATTCATGGATAAATTAATTTAAAAGGCAAATTTCCCTAAGTGACTCCATACAGCAGGATGCAATGGCATTCCAAATGAAAAGAAATCAATTCTATTGTCCTTTCTTTTTCTTGCAACAGTAGCATAAGACCTGAGCTGAAACATAAAGTCCCTTCACAGATAAAAGGCAGATTACAGAGCTTGAGTAATCAATGTGGAATTAACTTTGGGAGAAGATGCAAACAAGCTGGCTCAGGAGAAAGTCATACTAAAAAACACACATTGTTAGGGAAACATCCAAGAAAAATGGCTGATCTCTGGAAAGCCTGCTCAGTATCCAGGGTTTAACGCCAGATTAGCATAGCTCTGCTAGTTAAGCAACAAAGATTGCCTTACACTACATATTTGGACTCCACATGTGAGTGTTTCAATTAAAATATCCAAGCTGGGGGCACCTGGATGGCTCAGTCGGTTAAGCGTCCAACTCCTAATTTCAGCTTGGGTCATGATCTCATGGTTCGTGGGTGTGAGCCCTGCACTGGGCTCCTCACTGACGCACGGAGCCTGCTTGGGATTCTCTATCTCCCTCTCTCTCTCCATAAATAATCAATAAACTTTAAAATAAAATAAAATATCCAAACTGGGACCATGATCAGCAAATGTCTACTTGTGAAGAAAACATTCTCTTAGAACAGAGCTCTTCTGAAGAAACACAGGATGGGGAAGAGTGAGTCAAAATATCAAGGTTAATTTATCACTAACTTTGAGATGTCTATAATAAAATAACATAACTATAGTATAAAATGAATAATGGCAACAAAAATTATTTTTAAGGAGAATGAGTTAGTGGTTTCAAGCATCAAATCCTTCACCTTCCTCTGTAACCTAGATGAGCAAATAATTTTTGTCTCCATCTTATATTTGAAAACAGTAATCGTTTCTCCGAAATCATACTTGGCATACATATATAGTCCACTTATCCTTTCATTCAGAACTTTTAAAAAATCTATTCCAAATAAAACACTCATATAAGAGGTCTACAGAGAGTAAGAAACCAGAGGTAAATGCCATTAAAGTTTGGGAAATTTTTAATATCTTCATAAAAGAATCCTTGTCATTTGTTATATGTTGCAGGGACCAACAATGTGGTAAAACCAGAAATGTATATGTTATTCTATTGAATTTGACTTTTTAAAATTGTTAGTAATTTGCTAATCCTGCTCACTTTCTGTGTCGTCAATGGCCTTACATGACAAGTAAAGTTTGCAACAACATCAGAAAAAAATTTAATTTAAAAATTGACACACTGGTCTATGAATGCATTTACTGTCTATCCCACTAGGATACATCTGTCTTGTTCTCTTTTAAGGAGCATCTGTCTTGTTCTCTTGTATCTCTAGTGCCTAGGTTAGTGTCGCATCTGTAAATGTTACAAACATAAAATAAGAGACCTCACCTGTAGAAGCATTTCTCCGTAAACTTCAGTTTATAAGGTGCCTACTGAGTATGTGACCTGGGAATCGCTACAGAACATGTTCTTATGAATCTAATGAAAGCCATAGCCTAATCACTGTGTGGTAGACAGTTCTCTGAAGTAAAGCTAAATGAACAGAACATCTGTATTTTGCTTGGACCCCAGGAAAAGAGGAACCAAAGAACACAAATCTGCCAGGATTATACCATGAGAGAGACACCAAAGCGGTAAATGTTTCCAGTCAGTGGGGCCTGAATTCTTTACAGAGCGAGGAAAGTCTTTAGGAAGTCTGGCTTCTCTTGCCCTGAGCATATGCACATCAGGTTATTCTCTGATTGCTTATTCATTCAAGAAGCCCAAAGACCTTACAAAGGACCAGCAACTGTGTCCTATACTAAGTATGGGACGATGAGTCCCTATCCTCAAGGAACTTACGCCTAGGGAAGGAAACATCATTACAATAAAGTTTTGTAATATATACATTGTCACAAGTTACCAATTCAGTTTCCTGGAGATCTTGGTTCCTGGAGGAATCATACAACTGAGGTATCTTTCTCCCATATCTTTTTGTGTTTTATTTTCTTTCCTATGTATAATTTTAGATCTTGTGAGTTTGGTTGATTTGGTGATTTAGGCAGTTACCTCGAACCAGGTAACTAGAACTAAATAACTAGACTGTAACAGAGAAATTGACAATTTCTAGAGGTGAAAATTAAAGAATTAGCCCTGAGTCCATCATGTCACCTGTATTCATTCCTACAAAGCCTTTCTCAGTAAGAAACTAGCTTCCTTCCTTTTGACATCTTTAAAAGATGTCAGCACAGGGGGAGGGGGGATGGGCATGGAAGAGGACACTTGTGGGGATGAGCACTGAGTGTTATGTGGAAACTAATTTGACAATAAACTATTTGCAAAAAAAAAATAAAATAAAAGATGTCAGCACAACATACCTTATACATGGAAAGGACACAGTCCTGTTATTTACTCTTTCTTATTATTATCAGCCTGTTATTAATAGTTATTAAGTATTTACTATATTCCAGGAATTCTCATTTATCGAAATACAACAATCAATACAATATAGCCTTTAAAGATTAAACATTCAGGGGCGCCTGAATGGCATGGCTCAGTCAGTTAAGTCTCTGACTTCAACTCAGGTCATGATCTCACAGTTCATGAGTTCGAGCCCACTCAGTCTCTATGCTGACAGCTTGGAGCCTGGAGCCTGCTTCAGATTCTGTGTCTCCCTCTCTCTCTGCCCCTCCTCTGCTCACGTTCTGTCTGTCTCTCTCTCAAAAATAAATAAACATTAATATTAATAATAATAAAACATTCAAGCAATGAATAATCCACTAATGTTTAAACTCGTTAGATATCAGAGGCACCAGGGTGGCTCAGTCAGTTAAGGGTCAGACTTTTGGTTTCGGTTCAGGTCACGATCTAACAGTTTTGTGGGTTTGAGCCCTACATCAGGCTCTCTGCTGGCAGCGTGGTACCTGCTTGGGATTCTCTCTCTCTCCCTCTCTCTCTGCCCTTCCTCGACTCACGTTGTCTCTGTCTCTCTCAAAATAAATAAGTAAACTTTAAAAAAATTATAATTTAAAGTACTTAGGTGTCAAATGGTAAATATTAATTAATTTCTGGTGGTTTGTAATTTTACTGAGACTTCACCTATGTAGACTAATGAATCCTGTACCATAATGCCATATCAATTTTCTTATTTTATTTTATTTTTTTTATTGAAAGAGTGTGAGCACTGGGGAGGGGCAGACAGAGGGAGAGAGAGAGAGAGAGAGAGAAAGAGAGAGAATCTCAAGCAGGTTCCACACTCAGTGAGGAGCCTGACATGAGGTTTGATACCAGGACCATGAGATCATGACCTGAGCTAAAGTCTCCTGATTTCACTTAACCCACGGGGCCACCTAGGCATCCAGTCATATCAATTTTCTATGTCCTCCAAGAAACATCATTAAAAAAAAATGTTTTTAACTTAAACACACATTTACTGAGTACCTATTGTATGCAAGGCTCTATGCTAGATCGTTGAGTAAGACAGAGCTGTTGCCCACCGGGCGTCTTCATCTGAGTGGAAAGAGAACCACCTGGCAGTTACAGAGCAGTGTGGGAAGCTGTGTGATGGGACAAGCCAGGTGCCACGGGAGGAGTTGTGGGGCCAGTCAGGTGAGATTCCCAGAGAGGTGAGATCCTGACTACAGAGAGGCCAGTAGCGAAGGTGAGAATGCCTTTGTCTTTCCTTGCCAGATTACTATTTACCCCCTACTGTGGCCAATAGGAATTCTTACCCCAAAAATATCATAACCTCCTACCCCCTTTTTAAAGGACTATTAAATTCTAAAGGGTGGCTCACCAGAGGTTAACCATGGGGAGTGCAACTGCCCATCCAAAGAAGCCCTGCAAGGACCATAAGGAAAGTCTCATGCCTGTAGTTTCTCTCTCTCTCTCTCTCTTTTCTTTCATTTATTTATTTTGAGCAGGGGAGGGGCAGAGAGAGAGGAAAAGAGAGAATCCTAAGCAGGCTCCACACTGTCAGTGCAGAACCCAACACAGTGCTCAAACCCATGAACCATGAAGTCATGACCTGAGCCAAAATCAAGAGTCAGATTTTTAACCAACCGAGCCATCCAAGTGCCCCTGAACCCTGGCTGGTCGGATTCAGAGTTAATTTTGGCCAAGAATGGCTTCTTTACAAAATGGAAACTGTTTTATTCAAATGAAAATGGTTTGCTATATAAAGTTTGGGTTTCTTATAGTTTACCAAAGAAAAATAAAAATCAACAACAATTTAACTATAGTGGTTTCTACTTTTTAACTGATATAATACCCAGAATCACCATGAAACATTCTCTTTTTATTTATCTTGAGAAAAGAGAATGAGAATCATGACCCATATTTATGTAGTTTCTGTCTCAGAGGGGCACAAAGTACTTTACAGACATTTCCAATTAACTCTGGTAATTTCACTGTGATCTAGATAGGAACTAGACCTTCACATATGGGAGACGGCACACACTACCAGTCACAGACAAAGTGTCAAATCTGGAAACATAAACTGATTCCCCTGGATTAACTCAGAGTAGAGGGGAAATGAGAGGAAGAGAGAAAGAGACAGGCAGAGAGAGGAAGACAGAAGGGAGAGGGAGAAAAAAGGGAGAGGAAGAGAGGAAACCTAGATCATCATCAAACAAATTCAAGAAAGAAATTTTTATGACTAAGGCTGCCTACATTTATAAATAAAACCTTAAAGTTTTAGGTGACGTATATTTAATCATTTCTTATTTTGACAGCAGGAGTAGATAGCCTCAGGTTTTTATGTTTAAGACATAAACAGTATCAAACTATGATTATGGGTGGTATAAACCTGATACTCAGAAGCCATAGACTATTTATAATGTACCCATTTCATCAACTATATCTATTAATACAGAATCATAAAACTGAGGGCTTAAACAAAAGACAATTGGATACAATATATAAAAAGTGAGGTCTTCCAGGGCCTGGGTGGCTCAGTCGGTTAAGCATCCAACTCTTTATTTCAGCGCACGTCATGATCTCAGAGTTCATGGGTTTGAGCCCCATATCAGGCTCTGTGCTAACTGGGATTCTCTCGCCTCCTCTCTCTGCCCCTCCCCCACTCTCTCTCTCTCTCAAATTAGATAAATTAATTTTTTAAAAAGTGAGGTCCCTCCTCCCCCAAAAAGTTAAAAATACCATGTGTTAATCTTTCCTGTGTATTTTTTACAATGCTCTGATGAAAATGTATCTTTTATGAATTTGACAAATATGAGAAAGAAATTTTATGAGCTTGTAGTTTTTGCTAACAATATAGTATCACATAAATACAGGATATTATTATAAACCTAAATCTGAGATTAGTGAATAAGTGAAAATCTTTCTTCCAATTTAGGATTTTTATAATATAACTATATTTTTCATTAATAGAGCAAATACAACATCATCTTAATATTAGACTAAAAAATAAAAGTAATTTGTCAAAAGCCTTAAGAAGCATTCCAAAATTCGATTCTCTCTAATCTTCTCTCTCATCTTAACTTTAAATTGGATATCATCCATTCTTTGGGGAGTTGATATGCTTGAAGAAGGATTAAATGTCCATTTTAAGGACATTCTCTTTTTCTACTGCATTTAGTTATCAAATTAACAAATAAACTAAAGTTTTATTTGGCTGGTCCATGACTTATTCACAGCGTGAAAGACATTATCCCATGAAATAGCCAAACAAAATTTTTATTACAAGTTCTTGCAAAGTATTAATAAGGAACATACAGTGCATAGGTATTTTAAATATGAAAGATAAGAAATCACAGGGCAGTCACCCAAGACCCTCACCCCCCACCAAAAAAAAAAGAAGCACCAACCTGATTTGTCCTCTGTGTCATCAAAGTCAACGCTGAAGGAATGGCCACTATTACTGATGATTTTGGCTGAGTTTGCATCATACTTGATACTCAGAGGTTGCAGGGAAGAGTCATATTTCACTTCTTTGGTTTTAATCTCAATTGGAGATTGCTGATCCCCATCAGCAATAGGGAAAAATTTATTCCAGTGAATAGGGCCTTAAATATATAGGACCGAAAGAAAAGGACTAAGTATGTTACTTTATTCACCAAACATTTATCGAGTGCAATCCACTATGCTTGAGTTGAAGGAATAAAAAAGATTAATAAAATAAGATATTTATCCTCACAACCTTTGCATCCATTTTTTTTTTTTTTACAAGTCTGGGTGCTTTTATAGGTATGAAAACTTCCTGGTTTGCCTTAATTCATTTACAGCATTAAATCAACCCTTGCGACAAAAAGTATATAAGGTTTAAAAAGTGCTTTCCAAATGTTCCTTTCTACCAAACTAAAAACAACATCATAATTGATCATGGAAAACAATGAGATTTAACCTCAGCTCTAAGAAAGATCTGTGGTAGGCCAGAGGTCTCCAAGTTCATGGGATGAAAGAATGAATGGAACTGAGAAAGCTATGTAGTGAAAAAGGTGCAGTTCTTCAAAATACTATCCCTGGGGTGCCTGGGTGGCTCAGTTGATTAAGCGTCTGAGTCTTGATTTTAGCTCAGGTCATGATCCCATGGTTTGTAGGTTTGAGCCCTGTGTCAGGCTCCATGCTGCAGTGTGGAGCCTGCTTGGGATTCTCTCTCTCTGTCTCTGTCTCTCTGCCCCTCTCCTGCTCTCTCTCTCTCTTATTTATTAAGTTTAAATAAATAAACTTAAAAAAATGCAATCCCTACTTGTTTCTTCTATCACTCACTGGTGTCTTCAGGTGTCACCCAGGCCTCAACTCAGCTACTCCCAATGTGCAACAGGATACTAAGGAAATATGTAAATTTTTCACATAGTATAATCCAAATAAAATGGCTGCACCATGTCAGCAAATGTAATATTGTTGATTATCTTCAGTGGAGTCAGGTAACAATTTCTTTCTTTCTTTGAACATTTCAGAAGGTCCTTCTTTGGTTATTTTGCCAATGTTACATTTGAATTCCAACACAAGGGAAAATTGTCATCCTAATCCTCTACTCAAAAAAGTCAAAACTGCATCAAGTTCCCAAGTCAGACACATGTTTGGTGAACTGATATGAACCAATAAGCAGCCAATTCCTTTGTCTAGACTGTTCATTTCTCTGGAAGATTTTATTCAAGCTCTGCCTCCACAAATCAACAGCAAGATTGCAGCTTTAGGATAACCTCTAAGTCATTTTACAGATGTGAGTAGTCACTTTACAGGTTAGAGGTTCTTATTGTCTACTGCTTGCAATTTATACAACTACCACCAGGTCGGTAGCGCACAGGCTACTGACTAGGCTTTTCCCTACTTCATTAACTTGATTTCTCCAAGATTCAAGTACTTATGAAAAAGACACAGCCTGGGGGTGCCTGGGTGGCTCAGTTGGTTGAGCATCCAACTCTTGATTTCTGCTCCAGTCATGATCTCACAGTTTGTGAGATGGGGCTTCATGCACTGACAGGGTGGAGTCTGCTGGGGATTCTCTCTCTCTCTTTCTCCCTGACCCGCCCCTCTGCACACACACTCTCTCCCTCTTTCTCAAAATAAATAAATAAACATTAAAGAAATGTTTATTGACACTGCATGACAATTAAATATTTGTCATTGACAACAAATATTTTTAAAGATTTAGAATGAAACTTCAAGAAATGCAAATATATTGCAATTTTCAACAGCTTCAATCTCTAAATCTAATGCTCCTTATTACTCTTCAGTTTTGCAAAGGAGAAAGCTTAAGCTCTTTCCTTCACATATGCATCAGGTACAAAAAGTCAAAGCATGAATATATAACGATTCACATAACTTAAAAGCTCTTCTCCATGTGAAGCCAACACTTTGGACTTCAAAGCAACTTGAACATCAAAAGTCCTTGCCTACTTAATACAGAGAAGGCATTACATTTCCTGGTTTATTGAGTACTCTCATTTACCTTTCTGGCACTTCTTCTTTGTACAATCTAGTCCCTTCTTTAAGTGAAAAAAAGTTTTCTTTTCACTGCCACCAAGTATGAGTCAACCTAATGAGGGTTAGATTTCAAATATGTAATGCAGGTATCATGAAATGTTGTTGTTGACTTTTTTCCAACTAGGAAAGAGTTTCTTTCTCCTCCCAATTCCTTTACTCTCCTGTTTCCAGACCTTTATAACAAGAATAATTTTGAAAAGCAGAGGCAAATTGAAATAAAATAATAACAATGCCACTCTGCATAAATTACTCAACAGTATTTATTAACCACTATAGTGGGTTCATTTTCCTGCCTCTTAAACAGGCCCCCTTTTAAAAAACGTTTCCAAAACATTCAACTTTAAACCTACTTAAACCCAGTTCTTAAGTAGCGATATATGATGATTCTTCCACTAATTCAAGAACTTTTAAATATCTACAGATATGTAATTTTCAGTAATTGTCACATTCCCTAAACAAAACCAGTAAAACTACCACAGGTTAGTGGAAGAATTTTTAGGTATTTGGTGAAGGTGGTACCCCCTTCCAATGGCTCACTTCTTAGTGTTCCATTTTATCATTGCTACTACCCCTTGTTTAAGTTTCCTTTTTCTGCTCATTCATTGCTTTTGCCAGTCTAAACAGAAAGCCAGCAACTAAAGTTGCCCCGTCAGGATACAACACATCTCCAATAGCATTTTGCCACAGTTGATCTACTTACAGGCACTGTCCTCAGAAAGCACTGAAAACCAGGAAATGGCCCTACAATTCTTAGCAGAAATACAAAATCACTATTTAGTAATGGCTTTTCAAAGATAGATTTTTTAAATTTCTGAAGATGGGTTTCACTGGGGCCAATATTTTCTTTTTTAAAAAAATATTTTTATTTATTTCTAGGAGAGAGAGAGACAGCGTGAGCAGGGGAGGGTCAGAGAGAGAGGGAGTCACAGACTGAAACAGGCTCCAGGCTCTGAGCTGGCAGTCAGCACAGAGCCCGACGCGGGGCTCGAACCCACGAACCGCGAGATCATGACCTAAGCGAAAGTCGGACGCTTAACCGACTAAGCCACCCAGGCGCCCCAATATTTTCTAATGTATAAATGTACTAAAGAGCAGTCAGTACTCATTGATTGAAAATACCCTTCTTCCTAACTATAGTGAGGGCACTGCTGACACCCAGTAAGTATGAAATGACAGAAATTAAAATTATTCCAGCAGAGAGGGAAATTAAAAGAATTTTTTGTGTTTTTTTCTCCAAACATAAATTGGAAATTAGCAAAGTGTGAGATTATAATTACAGTCCGAGTCAAAAATTAGAAATTCACCTAAATTATACCTTTTATTATTAAAGTTCTAAATATCACCGCTGCCATTTTAAACTGGCAAGTTAATCATAACCTCAAGAAGGCTACAATTAGAAATGAAGCTGAAAAGCTTTCTTTGTGAACGTAAACTTTCTCTAAAATTTGACTATATGGTACTGTTCAATAATATGCATGTTAATCCAAGGAAAGTATTATTATTATTATTATTATTCACTGATCTAATTTTGACACCAATTCACTATAAGGCTTTCTTGGTGTCACTGTGCAGTTATTTCAAATAATGGTTATTTTGATGATTTAGTACATAGAAGAAAAGTATACATCTTATTATTACTGCCGCTCCTATCAATAAATCCATTTTTGCCAACGTGTTAAAATTTGAATAATCCTTTGCCAATCCTCTATCTCTGCACGGATGAGTGTGGGAGAGGGGGAAAGAGTGAAGCGGTCCAAAGCATAACTTTATTTTTTTAGAAAGAACCTGAGACCTCCTGAAGCTAACAGTACCAGTCAATCAACTGCAAATTACGAAGGCAATATTTTATAATAACGGCTATTAAGATATCTGCAGTATTTCGGGTGCCAAGAAGGCAACTTCAATCTCCAGGGTTGTGATTCAGTTATTAAAATTTCTTAAGTATGGCTTCAAATGTTTTCCGTGATTTGTTTCCTGTGAATAATGAACTCAAAAAACTGAAAGCAAACTTGCCCTCCATTCATTAAAGTCTGTCATCAGGCTCTAATCTCCGTGCCTTTAACTGGCAAGTAGTTACTACTGGGGAAAGTCCTGGGCTTTTCTAATGAAAGTGAACGGACATACACGAAGATTCCGGGGCTTGGGGGAATCTTCACAGGGCTAATACACACCACCTCCCCACTGACACCCTCCAAAAGACACTTCTCCTGTCTACGCAAGACTTAAGTCGCCTCTTTACTTCCTGCATTTGGCTCTGGGGAAGGCTGCTCATCTTAAAGAGGAACGAAAAAGTTTCTCGCAGGCGCGGGATCAGCGGTGCACGGTGTGTCCCCACCGCCGCCCCCTGGAGGGAAGCCCTCCCTCGCTCACCGTTGTGTTCGCCGTATCCCCAGCTGAATCGCGACATGGTCCCTCGAGTGGCAGGCAGGGGAAGATGTGGCCGGACGGCCAGAGGAGGGAGGGAGCCGGGCGGGCGCGGGAGTTGGCAGAGGCGGCGACCAACCTAGGGAGGGTCCGCCCGGCGCCGCCCGGCAGAAGGGGTGCGCTACAACCCCCGGGCCAGGGCGCTCTCGGCCTCGTCCGCCAGGGGGCAGTGGCGTGCGGGACGGCGCCCGCACCGGTCAGGGCGACCTCGGGCGGCGGAGCTGAGCTAGGTCCTGGGGCGAGGTTTCCTCGTACTAACAGCTTGAACTCCAGAAGAAGAGAGTGGGCTTGATAGAGGGGCGGAGAGCAAGGGAGGAAAGAGCGAAAGAACGAGAGAAGGGTTTCCAGAGGAGACTTTCTGCCTCCTGAGAAGTAGTCACCCCGGAAAGTATTGCTTAGAGGGCTTTCCTGGGAATAAATGAGTCACCAGGGCCTGAAGCTGCCAGGCTGGGAGGTGGGGCTGCTGGTGGAGACGTGAGGTGAAGTCGTTGATGGTGGTGGTGGTGGTGGTGTTCCAAGCACAAAATAGTGACAATGGCAATAGCTACAAAAATAAATTAGCTGCTATTCATTAAAGTCTTACCATGGGCCAGTGTCTGAACTAAGACTTCACCCACATCTTGCCATTAGATCCTATAATTGTCCTAGAGTCCTAAGAGAAGCTAAGTAACCCGTCCATGGTCGCACAGCTAAAAGGGGCCGAGGGTTCTTACTAAAAAAGGACCGATGACCCCTCCCTTACCCAGCCGAGCTGCACCAGCCCATTAATCCCATCTCCCTTCTGACTCTCACCTCTGCTGGCTGTGGGTAGAGTAGTGACGGAACCAATTTGATTATTGATTCTTGGTCCTGAAATAATGCTGGCCTTTTGTCCCAGCAGCGACAGGAAGGTCTTCATTCCATCGTTGTTCTGGATGCACGGTAGGCTTGCTGCCCTACGACTGAAAGCTGAACTGCCTGCAGAGCCTTGAAATTTTGACCCGGAGTAGTGGGTTCTCTGGGCTCAGAGTGAAAACTAAAGACAACTCTCTGACCTGCCAGGATTATAATTACTGTTCTAGCTGCATAAGGGGCTGAATTGGGTCAATTTGAAATTTCAAATTGAACTGTGCAGGGTTATTTATGGACAAGCAATGTAAATAGCTTCTTAATGGTCATGAGCCTTCCAAAAAGATGGAAGCATGGCTGTTTAACTATCATCTTTCACTTTCTCTTGCAATCCACACAGCCACTGCCTAATGTGGTGACTGCAAGTCCCAGGAGCTACCTCTTTTGGTAACCACTGTATTGTTTAGGGACTACTAAATAGGGATCAATTTGAACTATTCTTTAGACCTGACCTAAATACTTCATAGTGCAATCTGCACCTTCTTCTGCTTCTGTAATTCTTAATGAGGTTAGAATGCAACAGGGAAAAAAAAGTGTTTATACAGCAATAAGTACAATAAACTTTATGTTCCTCTTACATCTAAAGGAAAGCCCAAGTTTTCTCTTCCATATTCTCTGGCACAACTGGGTTCATTTATGCCAGTATAGTAGTGGCCAAACCTTTATTTTATTTCATTTATTTATTTTTTAACATTTATTTATTTTTGAGAGACAGAGCACAAGTGGGGGGAGAAGCAGAAAGAGAGGGAGACACCTGCACAGAATCCGAAGCAGGCTCAAAGCTCCGAGCTGTCAGCACAGAGCCCGACATGGGGCTCCAACCCACGAACTGTGAGATCATGACCTGAGCCAAAGCCCAATGCTTAACTGACTGAGCCACCTAGGTGCCCTGTGACCAAACTTGTAATAATAAAAGTTTTATTTATGTTCACTTTCACTACAAAAGACAAAATACATATATGTATATACTTATATACAAATATGTAATAAAGTACTGTTATCCAAAATATACAAACAATTCTTAAAACTCAACAATAAGAAAACAACCTGATTAAAAAATGGCCCAAAGACCTTAACAGACATCTTACCAAAGAAGATATACAGATTGCAAACAAGCACATGAAAGACCCTCCACATCAGGTGTCACCAGGAAAATGCAAATGAAAACAAAATGAGATACTATTACACACCTATTAGAATAGCAAAAATCCAGAACACTGGCACACCCAAAGCTGCCTGTGGAGCAATAGGAACTCTCATGCGTTCATGATGGGAATGCAAAAATGCTACTGCCGCTTTAGAAAACAGTTGGCAGTTTCTTTCAAAACTATACACACTCTTAACCATATGATCCAGCTATCATGCTACTCAGTATTTATCTTAATGAACTGAAAACTTATGTCCACATAAAATCTGTACATGGATAGCAGCTTTATTTATAATCGTTCAAGTTGGAAAGCAACCAAGATGTCCTTCAATAAGTGAATGGTACTTCCAGACAACTGAATATTATTTAGAACTCATAAGAAATAAGCTGTCGAGCCATGAAAAAACATGGAGGAAACTTAAATGTCGTATTGGTAAGTGAAAGAAGCCAATCTGAAAAGACCACAGACTGCATGATCCCAACTGTATGACATACTGAAAAATGGCAACACTATGGAGACAGTACAGAGATCAGTGCTTGCCAAGAAGGGAGGGGGGGAGGCAGGTGCTGAGTAGGCAGAACACAGAGGACTTTTAGGGGAATAAAAATATTCTGTATGAAGTTACAATGGTGAATACATTGTACATTTGTCCAAACCCATTGACTATAAAACAACAACGATGAATCCTAAGGTAAACTATGAACTTCGGGTGATTCGGATGTGTCCATGTAGGTTCATCATTTGTAATAAATATAGCCTCTGGTAGAACAAGTTGTTAATGGAGGAGGTTAGCTTCCATGTTGGGAGCAGGGGGTATGGGAACTTTCCGTACATCCCTCTCAATTTTGTTGTGAACCAAAATTACTCTAATAAACAGTCATTTTTAAAAATGAGCAAAATAAACTCACAAAATACTAATGGACTCATGCAAAATACACACACACACACACACAAAGAGAGAGAGAGAGGAGGTAGCATGTAAGAGGTCCCATGCCAAATTTGGGACAATTTAGTTGTCAAAAAGAATAACGATAGTAATAGATTATAACTTCCACCCCACAAAATCTCCATGAGTCCATAGTGATACTGAAAGAAAAAGAGGAAAAAATGCTTCTTTATGAGAGAATGCAAGCTACTAAAAACAGATAAAGTGATAGAATTATAAAACAATCACTTTTGCAAGTAATATTTGTTCAGGCAAGGATTGATAATAGATGTTAAAATTTCTAGATGAGAGGTTACTGGGGAATCGGATATTCCCACAGCCTAGAATTAAGAGACAAAATATATGTGTGAACCAAACATAATGTGTGACTCTCAATTAGATCCTAGGTTGGAAAGAAAGGTGCAGTACATGCTTTGGGGACAACTGAAGAAATGTAAACATGGACAGCATATAAATAATACTACTGAGTTGATGTTCATTTGCACAGGTGTGGGGACAGTGCTGGCAATACTTTAGGAGATAAATGCCAAAGCAATAGGGCTGAAGTCTTTCATGTTTGCAACTGACTCTTAAATGTCTCAGTCAACAACTGGTGAATATAGCTGAAAGATATTTAAGTGCTCCTGTTACTACTCTCACAATTTTTGTGAAGGTTTTTAATTTTTCCAGAAACAGTAGGGCAACAGAAACCTTCTATTTTCTCAAATCAATGAGCCATTAGCTTGCTAACTAAGTGTTCATAATAGGTGTGGGTTTTCTCCCTTAACTAAGAGCCTCTGACTCCAGGTTCATAACCATCAAGTGTAAACAAGTAAAGGAAGACTAACACTGACCAGAGAACCCAGGAATCCTGCCCAGACATACGTCCGTCATCTCTATTTCACTCTTGATTCAGTTAGGTCCAGTTCAAGCTGCCTTTGCAACAAAGCATGGTTAAGTCAGCTCTCCTCTTCAGTGAATCAGACACTGTATGTTATGAACAGCACTTGTAAGTTAGAACTCTAGCCATAAAAAATTTAATTAAGGATGGTAACATATGCAGAAAATATCAAAGTATTAATTACTCTTGTTCTATTAGGGCATATATACGGACTTTCTCGGAGATGCATGTTTGTTCAAGGTTTCTTTTTTAGAAACTCTGAATGTGAACCCAAGTGGTTATTGTCATCTGATTTTTACTGAGCAGTAAACTGAGATGAGCAAGGTTTCTCAGTTACCTAGAGAGGCAGGCCACATAGTTGAGGACATAGCCCCAGTGTGCCGAGTCCCAAGTCCAAGGTGATCCCCAGTCTGTGAAGATTTCTTTCATTCAAGTCCTGTGATTTGCACAGCTGGGATTTATTAATCATTTGATATCTTGTGGAGCACGTAGGTTTTATGGAGCTCATACTATATGGGGGTTTCGATTTCTTTAATTTCCATTCCTAAAGTTATCCTAAGGTTAGGTTTGCAATCTCTCAAAGGGGCTTCAGGATTTGCCCAAATGACTTAAGTTTCATGCTCAGATGGGAATTTTCAGACCAGAATTGGAAAGGTAGTTTTAATGTATCACCTCTCAATAATAACTTTCAGTAACTGGAGCCAAACATTTTGTCCTATATCATCAGACAAGCACCTCCATTGCCAAAACCCTACCTTCTACATTTTTGTTCTTTTGTTTAATCTCATGCAGCCTTCTAACAGAAATTTATCACACCCTATTTTATAGCAGATTATAAAAGTAGATAAAGCATGAAAGAGAAAAGGAGAGATTATTTAAAAAGAAAGATTATTTAAAAGGAAATAAAGTTGTATAGACATCAGATCAGTGTTGAAAAGCTTAGATAATTCAGGGCAAAATCACTCAACTATGGAGAATAGTTTAATAATTGTTATTAGCTTGAAATAGCTTATTTGGAAAGAAGTCAATTTCACTCCACTGCTGTCAGCTCTTTGAAATATAACAGAGAAAATTAGGGGTGCTAATTGACATTCTGTCATCAGCACTTATGTTTATCTACCCTCTCCTGTCCTCTAGGAAAGGGCAGTCTGTTCTCTCAAGAGCAATATCCAAATCCCCATCTCACCATCAAGAAAGGCTTGATAGACCCCTGCCCCAAGAAGTTCCTTTCCTGGATGCCACCATTTTACCACCAAAGATTTGGTGCACTAGCACTACCTGGCAAAACTTCTTACTCCCACCAAACAGATACCACTATATCCTTTATAACACAAGTTATCAATTCCTCTTCCTCTTGATCACTGCCATCGGCATACCAATATGTTTTAGAATTTCCTCTTTTTAGAGGGAAAAATCTCTCCCTGAACATACATACAGCTCCCATTTGCTGCCCATCATCCTGTCTGCTGCTCCTTGGGTTCTTCTATACCCAACTGTATTAATAGATTTCTCCAGAAAGAAAGAACCCCACTGTGTGTGTGTGTGTGTGTGTGTGTGTGTGTGTGTGTGTGTGTTTAAAAAGAGATTTGGGGGTGGGGAAAATAAATAAAAAAGAGATTTAGTATAAGGAATTGGCTCACACAGTTATGGAAACTGACAAGTCCTAAGATTTACAGGATGAATTGGCAAGTCGGAAATGAGAGAGTCAATGGTGTAGTGAGAGGCTGAAGATTGGCAGACTCAAGATCTTGGAAGAGCCAATGTTCCAGTTCAAATCTGAAGGCAGGAAAAAAAACCTATGTACCATTTCAAAAGCAGTCAGGTAGGAAGAATTCTGCTTTACTCAGGAGAGGGTCAGCCTTTTAATCCTATTCAGACCTTCAACTGAGTGAATAAGACCCACCCACATTAGGGAGAGCAACCTGCTTTACACAGTCTACTGGGTTAAATGCTAATTTCATTAGAAAAACACACTCACAGAAACACTTGGGATAATGGTTGACCAAATATCTGAGTATCCTGTGACCCAGTCAAGTTGGAACATAGCATTAACCATCAAACCAATCTTTAAATTTTAGGGTTTGGAACTTTCTACTAGGATCTCTTCTCTCTCTACACTCTCCTCATGGGTATTTCCCCCAACGTCTATGGACATAGTCTACCTAGCTTAGAAATATATTCCAGCACTATCCAAGAGAAACGTAATGTGAGTCACAAATGTAATCCATATTTTTGACTTTCAATTTTCAACCAGTTACATTAAAAATAAGTTTTAAAAAAGTGAAAATTTGTTTTAATGATATATCTTATTTAACCCCATATATCCAAAATATTAGTTTCAACATGAATCAACATAAAAAATATTACTGAGTGTGCCAATTATCAATGCATTCTTTCTCAGCTCTAAGTTCACCATACTTTATCTGCTCTGTGATAATGGATAAGAATTTCTTCTCTGCAGCAAGCACAATGTTAACCTTTTTTTTTTCAGTAGAAGGACACTGCAGGAGAGGGCCTGGTTTCCTGGTCCTGGTGTGCTGCAGTTTTGTTTTCTTCTGCTCCTGCTGAGCTTCTGGCAGAGACATGTGTGGACAGACACACAGGGGTGCTCTGGCCCAGTCTCACACCAAGAGTATGTGAAGTCCCTCAGCAAGTTCATAGCCCCACCCCGAACCCAGTAACCCTCTCATCGTAACTCCTGAAGCAAGCACCAAGCACCTGGCTCTCACGCTTCTCTGCTGGTGAGTAGATGCCTCCATTCCCTCTCCACGCCTGTCCAGCAGCCTCAGGCAGCCCGCAGCATGGATGGTGTTTCCCATGGTTCTTCTGACACAGACACTGCACTCTAGCTTGAGTGACACCCTACTGGAGAGGTGGTTCCCAATGGTCTGAGTCCCTTAGCACACCTGCATGCCAGACTTAGCCCAATGAACCCCGGAGGGGTGTTTCTTGCTTGCCTGCCAATTATGGACCAGCTCTGGCCTGGGCCACCCCATGAACTTCTCTGCCATCAAATGGGCTGCAGCCACACCTTCTCCAGTGATCTGAATCCCTATCTTAGAGAGGAGGCCAACTTCCAAGTTTGTCCTTCCTTAGAGACTCTCCCTTAGCCTAAGGATAGTCTTTAGAGTTCTCTTACATCTTATTCCTTGTTATAGTTAACAATTCTTTACAACAACTTTTACTGCTCAAATTATTATATGATTTCTATCTCCTGAATGAACCTTAGCTGACACAAGTACACCTTTTACTTTTTTTTTTTTTCTGTCTTACTAGGTCTTCAAAGTCTGATGCATAGTTTACTATTACAGAATATCTCAGTTCAAGCCAGTGCATGCAAGTGTTTGACAGCCACATGTGAGTAGCTACCATACTGGGCAGCATAGCTAGAGATCCACTGAATTGCATCCAACTGCTGCAGCTTAAGGTGTCTGAAATGGTATTGTTTATTTTCTTCCTGTCTCAGTTTCCCTCCCACAATTTTTTTCTATCTTACTATAAATAGCTCCATGATCCACCCAACTGCACAAATCAGAAATTAATTATTATTAATAATCAGGGGTGCCTGGGAGGCTTAATGGGTAAAGTGTCTGACTTTGGCCCAGGTCATTATCTAATTGTTCATGAATTTAAGGCCTGCATCAGGCTCTGTACTGACAGCTCAGAGCCTGGAGCCTGTTTTGGTTCCTGTGTCTCCCTCTCTCTCTGTCCCTCCCCAACTTGCACTCTGTCTCTCTCAAAAATAAATAAACATTTTTAAAAAATTAATACTCATACTGATTCCTGCTTTTTTTTCTCCTTTTGCTTCTAAATTTTGTCTATTTTAACTCCTGGACAACCAGTTAACATGACAACAGAAAAAAATGAAAACTAAGCTATAAACATGAAACAAAATTCAAAAGATGAGTAATTATTAAGAGGTCTTCATGCTGTCTTCCTAATCAAAACCTCAGCTTCTTAAAAAAGTATCAAGACTCCATATCAATAAGGATGTTGACTTGAGCATGATCAAGCATGCCATAGGTATAATTGTAAATATATAGTCTTTATGAAAACAATTTGGTAATTTAAATCAAGCACTTTAAGCGTTCATAACCTGAGATCTCATTCCTAAACATGCTCCCTAAAATATTAGGAGATCTTCTCAAAGATTTATGTACAAACATGTTCATCACAATGTATTTATATATTTTTTTAATTTTTAAAATGTGTATTTATTTTTGAGAGAGACAGAGACAGAGAGTGAGCAGGGGAGGAGCAGAGAGAGATGGAAACACAGAATCCTAAGCAGGCTCCAGGCTGTGAGCTGTCAGCACAGAGCCCAACGCGGGGCTTGAGCTCAAGAACTGTGAGATCATGACCTGAGCTGAAGTCGGAGGCTTAACCGACTGAGCCACCCAGGTGGCCCACAATATATTTATATTAGAAAAAAATCCAGAAACAACAGAAATGCCACTGATAAGAAGAGAGTTGAAATAACTTATTGTATATCAAAAAGATGTAATTTTAGAAAGATATAAGTATATTTTCAATATACTTACTAATAAGTATATGTTTATATTTATAATTTGTATCCTGAGAGAAACTCCAATTTTTTATAAATAACATAGCATAATGCTCTAAAAAAATAGCTGCAAAGAAATATATTTTTGAAAATCTGAGTGGTGGAACTTATTGATTGTTCAAAATATTTATTAGATTACCTTTAGATGCTAGGCAGGTTTATACACAGGGGATAGAGCAGCTGTACTAGTCAGCCTCCAAGATAGTCTTCAATGAGCTTCACTTCCTGGTATTTAATTCTTTGTGTAGTCTCTTTCCTTACTGAATAGGGTAAGCATATGTAATTAATAAAACAGAGTGGAAGTGATAGTGTGTGATTTCTGAGTCGAGGTCATAAAAGACATTGCAGTTTCTCCCTTGCTTTCTTGGATCACTTAGTCTGGAGATAGCCAGCTTCGACATCATGAAAATATCAAACAGCCCTGTGGAGAGGTCTTCCTGAACAATTTTCAGGCATCCTGGCACTAGCCAGCACCAACCTGCAGCCATGTGAGTTGCTTTGCTAGTATATCCCTCACCCCAGTCAAGCCTTCAGATGACTGCAGTCCCAGCAAATACCTAAATGAACTTCAGGAAAGACCTTGAGCTGGAACTGTTAAGCCAAACCCCTCCCGAATTCCATACCCACTAAAATTATGAGATAATAAATGAGGGTTGTTGTTGCGAGTGACTACATTTTGGGTGATTTGTTACATGTTAGGAAGCTAATATAGCAGCAAACAAAACCATATGGAAAGCTCCGCCTTTATGGAACTTACATTCTAGCAGGCAGAGACAGATAAAAAACAAAATGAATAAATATATGGTATGCTATGTGACAATAATTGTATAGTAGAGAAGGGATGTAGGAGGACTTGGAACTTCACAGTCATAGAAGCCCTCACTGAAAAGAAGACATCTGAGAGAAGATCTGAAAGACGTGAGAAAGGAGCCTTGTAGATATTTAGGGGCAGAAGGGTTGAAAAGGAGGAATACACCTGATTGGTATTACAAAACAGTCAGAAAGCAGTGTGAGCAAAGGGGTGTCACTATGGCTTCACAGGCTACAGTAAGAACTTAGCTTTTATTCTGAATGATTTGGGGGGACTTTGGGGATTTTGAGCTAAGGAATGGCATGAACTGATTAACATTTTAGCAGGATTCCTCTGGCCGCAGGGTTTGCATAGAGATTAAAGCAGGGAAACCAGTTAGGAAGTGATTACAATAATCCAAATGAGAGAAAGTAGATGGAGAGGAAAATCAGAATGTAATCATTGCTGGTTATTTGTTTTCTTCTTTATATTTTTCTGAATTTTCATTTCTACATTGACTCTTCATGACTTTTCTAATCCAAAAGAAAAACAAAACTCTTTCAGGAGCCAGATGTTTGTGAGAACTTTTAGTCCTCAGCAGTTTTTGGTTTTATTAAAATATAGATGCCCATGGAATTCTTAGTAGGATTTCAGCACAGCAGGGTTGCTATAAAACAACACAAAGATGAGAATCAAAAACTGTTGACTTTAGTCTGTGCAGATTCTGAACATAACAATGTCAACTGAAAAACAAATGTGAAAGGGACTTCATGCACCCTTTGAATATTTGCATTGCCTTTGTGCTATGTATTTGAGCATTCTTTTTTTATTTTAATCTTATTTTTTTTTGAGAGAGAGAGAAGGAGCATGTTCATGTGTACATATAAGAGCAGGGAAGGGGCAGAGGAAAAGAGAAAGAAAATCCCAAGCTTTTGCTCTCACCATCATGAGATCATAACCTGAGCCAAAAGCAAGAGTCCTTAATTGACTGAGCCACCCAGGTGCTCCTGACCGTTCTTAACCTTCAAATATTTCATATACAAGCTTTCCTTTGTGACCGGATTTCAAGATTTCTAGAGACTTGGCTAGGAGATTACTCTGGATAAAAATCTGTTTAATTAAATTAAAAATATATTTATTGAGCACCTACCATTTCTAAGGAATAGTGCTATACAAAGATAAAAAGAAGTGTTCCTCTAGGTATTTTTCAGTCATGGTAAAGATGATAGGGCTTTAAAAGTCATTTTTAGTATACTGGCTACAATATCTTGCTTATTTGTTTATACTTCAGGGAATTTTATTTCATTTAGCAAATGTTTATGTCACACCACCCATGAACTGGAAATAGAGAATCCTACATGGGGATGCAAAGGTGATTGAGTAATAAATCAGCTCTCGAAGAGTATATGGACTAGGTATAAAAATTCCATCTCAGTCTCAAGTACACAGGAAGTGAGTGGCTTATCCCATACCCAGAAAATGGAAATTTCTTTGGTCTTCAGTCCATCACAGTGGCTGCTACAATGCTCAATATCAATGCCTAGATTTCCTTTGCAGGCAGAAAGCTCTATCCTCTCTGTAACCCTTGTTGGTAGAGAGATCTTATGCTACTTCTCCTCAGGCTATGTGCCAGAGGGACAAAAGTCTCAGGCACTGACAGAAAACTGTTAACCACCCTCTCTCCTGAACATTTCTTCAATTTCCAGAAGCTCATCTTCTCTTCTAAGATTAAGCCATTTCCCCTTTGCATTCCCTAAGGAAGATCCAGGTGGAAATGTCTGCAACATATCTGGAAACTTCAATTTTCAGCCCAGTCACATGAAAACCATCGATAACCATTAGAGACAAGGAAACTCAGACTCATGATGTAAAGATCTAGCTACCCGGGAATACTAAGAAGAAAAGTGCCCTTTATTCTTCTAAGACTTGGATGGCTTTGAGTATAAAATACTAATGCTAGTACAACCGGTTACACCACCATGCTGCTCATCCTCTAAGATGGATTGGTCAAGTTTTTAAAAGTTTTAAAATTAGCAAAGGGCCAGACAGCAAATATTTTAGGTTCTGCAGGCTACACAATCTTCGTCACAACTACTCAATTGTGCTGTAGTAGTGAAAGCAATCATATATAATATGTAAACAAATAAGTGTAGCTGTGTTCCATCAAACTATACTTATGGACACTGAAATATTAATTTCATAGAATGTTCATGTGTCTCAATAAACTGTCCTTATTTTGATTTTTCCTCCCATTTTAAAATGTAAGACCATTCTTAGCTCATGGGTTGTCCAAAAATAAGCAGGGGCTAGATCTGGCCTTTGGACTGTAGTTTGATTTCTGCTTTAAGATAGTCAGATGAGAACTTTAACAGGAATATTTCCAGAGTGCAAAATGATTTTCTTCCTAAAAAGGACATTTTTTATATTGACTTTGCATTTATCACAGTCCTTACCAGTTTCTGTCATGAATGATTACTCCGTGTGCACACATCTTCTCTCCCAGGTGACTGTGCCCACTTTAAAAGAAAGAAATGATCACATACTTCTTTGAGCTCCCACAGAGCCTAGGTGTTCAAACTATCGTGAACAAATGAAACTGAGCCCTGGGGAGAATAAAGTTGAACTGATGAAACAAGTTTATCATAGAGTATCATTTATACAAGACTGGCTTTGTTCCAGTAAAGGGCTATGAGGTTTGTTATGAATGGTTTGTAATTATTTATGTGTGCTCTCATTTTCTTATTCCCCCTACCTATCCCTGTTCCCTCATTGAATTATTTTTAAGACAGTTCTTTGAGGACCAGATCTGTATACAGAATTCTGTATACAGAACTCTGAATTGCTAAGCTTCTTTTTTTTTTTTAATAGTTTATTTATTTTTGAGACAGAGAGACACAGAGCATGAGCCGGGGAGGGGCAGAGAGAAAGGGAGGCACAGAATCTGAAACAGGGTCCAAGCTCTGAGCTGCCAGCACAAAGCCCGACGCGGGGCTCAAACCCATGAACCATGAGATCATGACCTGAGCAGAAGCTGGATGTTTAACCGACTGAGCCACCCAGGTGCGCCTGCAGTGCTACCTTTCAAAACAGAAAAACAAAGGTTTCTGGAAAATGTTTTTTCCATTCCTGATTTTATTTTTAAGGTTGTCAGAAAAAATGTAAAATTTGCATATATTTTTAAAGATTAGAAAACTTGAAGCTATTTTTTCTTTATATATGATTCATTTGGTTTATAGATAAATGGCTTTTAGAAAATTATCCTGATTCTTTCTTTTGTCCTGGTAATATCTTATGCTTTCATATTTTGTATTTTATTAACCCTGCACAATAGTCCTGTGACTTTTGGACAGGAGTAAAGACTCAGGTCTTTAAAAAAGACCTTTTCAATAAACTATTTGTAAAAAAAAAAAGAAAAAACCTTTTAATTTTTTTAATTAAAAAAAAAAAATAACCTCAGATCATTGAAACCAAAAAAACCACAATGGTTTTGCTTAGGTAACTGAGACATCTAGGGATAGATCTTTCTTGCATGTATGGCTGAATCCAAAGACTCAAAACGACATCATCAGCGTCCTGTGTTCTATTGTTCAGTCAGATCTGTTCTCTTTTGTATGTTGCCCTCATTCCCTCCCACTGCGGACAGGCCTCCTGCAAGTTGCAGGAGATGGAGATGGCTAATAGCAGCCTTAATTTCACATCATCCCAATACAAAGACACTAAATGCAGGAGACAGCATTCTTCACAGGCTCTAGTTGGAAAATCTTTCAAGGAGGGCTGTAATCATCACCTCAAGCAGGACCACTTAATGGGAGAAGAATCCTTCCTCAGAAAGGATGCTGAACAGATAATAGATGTTCTCAGAAGTGGGCATACTCTATGAATGGTCATGCACATATGGGAAAGGGAAGTACAGAGAAATGAAGTAACTTTTTTCATAATCACACTATTTGTGAGAAAATGTAAAATAGAAATCTGTGACTTCTCACTCACACCTCATATAATGCCTCTGCTTTTGTCTGTATAACCATGCTATTTCTTTGCTGTATCTTTATCTCACCATTTCACATGAAAAAAAAAAAAACAACCCAGGCCTATAAGTTTTCATAAGCACTATGATGTGATTCTATTACATCTATTTGTCTTCCTCATATACATCAATAACTTCACATTCAAGTAATCATGATTAAACCTGCCTTATTTGCTTCAGTACTTGTGGATAACTCAAGTCTTGTGAAAGATTCTGACGACTTTCTGTAATTTTGGTTTGTCCCCACACATTATGGGTATTTTGTACCAGCATTTTAAGCTGTTTTTTTTTTAAGTCACTCTCAGGGGCGCTTGGGTGGCTCAGTCAGTTAAGCGGCCATATTCAGCTCAGGTCCTGACCTTGAGTTTCATCAGTTTGAGCCTTTATACTGACAGCTCAGGGCTGGAGCCTACCATAGATTCTGTGTCTCCCTCTCTCTCTGTCCCTTCCCTGCTCATGCTCTGTTTCTCTCTCAAAAAACAAATAAACATTAAAATTTTTTTAAAAAGTTGTTCTTAGAATACAATATTTAAGGGGCCTGGGTGGCTTAGTTGGTTGAGCATCTGACTTCAGCTCAGGTCATGATCTCACAGTCTGTGGGTTCTGGGGCTGACAGCTCAGAGCCTGGAGCTGCTTCAGAGTCTGTGTGTGTCTCTCTCTCTGTCCCTCCCCCACTCGCTCTCTGTCTCTCAAAATAAAAAAATAAAGACATTTAAAAAAAGGGGGAGGGCTTGTTTAAAAAAAGAATACAATACTTAAATAAACATCATTGACAGGTAATTATTTCCTTCAATATATTCCCTAATTTTGGTGATGAATATAAACATAATAACACGATTTACTGTAAAAGTGACTTATCTTCCTATAAGCAGGCAAATAGCTGATTTGGTGGAAAATTTGACCCAGGGCCAACCCACAAAGATCCTAGTTTGGTTTTCTTCAGTACTAGTTTCGTGAAAGCCAGTCAATGGCTTAAAATATGAACCTTAGCAGTATCTTCTGTGCAAAAGGAGAGTGGTATTATGGCTTTAATTTTAATACATAGTGTAGACTAAACTCTTGAAAGTAATAAACTGATATATGAATATTAGTACTTCTACATTTGTTTAAAATCTGGATTTTCCTATGAACTCATCAAAACAAGTAGAGAAAGAAGTGAAAGCCGTTAATGAAAAGTTCCTCACAGTAGAATTGAATCAATTTTCTAGAAAACTCAACACAAAATGTCTTGAGAAATACACACGAACTCACAACCAGAAGGCAAAAATGTTTCTTCTAAGTTTTTCTAAATTCCCTGGTAATTATTTTTATATTTTCTTGTGCCTCTGCTTGCTGTGATAAGTTCTCTTTTTGAAGCAGGGAAACTACACGAGAAAGGCATTCCATCTCCTCGCTCATTCCAAATGTCCCTTTCTGAGATTATAGCTCCCGATCTCTCTGAGCCAAAAAGGTTCTTTGCACCGCCAGCCCAGCCCGGGACGCCACCCAGAGGTGCGCAGCGCCACCTCCTGGGAGCGTGGGCAGAGCCAGCCAGGAGTCTGAGGCTGAAGGCCGACTACTTAGTGACTGTTTTCAAAGCTCGGAACCTCAGAAACGCCTCAGTGCTTTCCATGTACGTACTAACCAGCCCTGTAGTCCAGACTTGGCTGCGTCTCCAATGCCTCCGTTTTGCCGGAGCGGAGTACAAATTCACAATCCCCCGGAGGACGGTTAGGGATGCTCTTGGGGCGGGATTTCCCGTGGTGGGTGGAACTTCGCCCTGTGGGCGGGGCTTCGCTAGCTTTAGAAGGAGCTCAGCATTTGAGGGTTGGCTCGGTGGGCGGGACTATGTTACGAGGGTGGGAACACGCTCGTGAGCAGAACTACGTTTAGTAGGCGGGGCTTCGTCTGTGTCAGGCCCGTGCTCTGTGGGTGGGACTCCGCTCGGTGGGCGGAACTATAGCCTGTGGGAGGAATTTTGACTGGCTCCTTTCTCCCCGGAACTTCCGGGATCGTGTGCGTGTAGATGGCGTCACTTGGAGCTTGAGTTGCTGCACGAGGTAACGTGTTGATAAATTTTCTGGGAGACAGGAGTGAAGTTTCAGGGGCTGGGACAGGGCTGGTGGGCCTCGTGCAGCCGAGGCCTGGAGGCTGGGTTCCATCGAGCGCGGCCTCGGGGCAACCCTATTGGCCCGCGGGCCTGCTGGCCCAGGCCAGAAACCCTGGTGCCTTTGGGCCTTAGGGCCTTCAGCCCTTGTCCGGGGGCCAGTTTTTCGTTGTGTCTCTTGTCATCCCAATCTTCACGTTGTTGTCAACAGAATTTTAGTATTGCCTCACCTACCACGGTATTCCCTTCTCCACGAACCTTTCTCAAGTCCACAACTCTAGTGGACCTCTCCCTCTGTGTCCATTTGTATTCTTCCTGTAGCAACACATATTATGTGTGTTTGTATCACACATGTATATCAGTTTTTGTATGTCTGTCACTTTTATACCACAGCTGGCACATAGTAAGTTATTCATGACTTATAGATGAGTGAGTGGATTTTGGTTACTATTGGGAGGATTTTAGGTTGTTTAATTGGGGGGATACGATGTGTATTTTCTTTTTACTCTTAAGTAATCATGAATTTTCTACTGTGTTCATGTTTGGTGTTTTTTTTATAAGTAGGAGGAGTACCGTTGATGTTTAAAAGCATTGCTGTCCCTAAATATTTACTGAGGCTGGACATTGAAGGAGAATATAAGTTTCACTTAAGAGATACAAGTTGAGCAAAGGAAAGAAAGAATGTGCGTAGTGTCTTCAGACAGCAATTTGTAGACTAGGATGGGTATGGACAGAGGTAGCGGGAGGTGTGTTTGACATATTTATTGCTAGATTTGGGGTTCTGGCAGTATACCAGGACAAAGCACACTGCCCCTAAGGCATTGGGAAAGTCATTGAAAATTTTTTAGTATTGGAGCGGTTCATCACATAGCACTATGCGTAGCCTTGAATGCAAATGGCTTAAGCCAGGGTTGGCAATCTTTCTGCAAAGGGCCAGATAATAAATGCTTTAGGCTTTGTGGGCTGTTGTTGTAGCAGGAAGGTAGCCACAGACAATACACATAATCAGACTGACATAGCTGTGTTCTACTAAAACTTTACTTATAGAGACAGGTACCTCACCTAATTTGGTCCATTGGTATAGTTTGGGAATCTATGGTCCAACCAAATGGACCTGTGGACCGTAGCAGTAATACAGTCCCGAACTAGGCAGTACTATACTGTGTTTCTGTATTGGCTTTATTTATATAGGAGAGGCCAATCACATAACGTTAGCTCTGGATCTAGTCTTCCTGGCTTTGAATCCTATCATTTCTTGATTACTTACGGTAATGACAGTGTGACATTGGGCGAATTAACCTCTTTGCATCAGTTTTATCTATAAAATGGGGATAATAGTACCTCTCACAGTGTTGTGCAGTGTAAATTGGCTAAAGCACATAAAATATTTACATAATGCTTACACACATTTTAAAAGCTCAATAAATCATAACTTAATATTTTTAAATTTTTCCTCATACACATTATTAAAGCAGATTTGAGAGCCATAGCTAAGGTAGAATTTACAGGCTACATGCATGTTTACGTATAGAACAAAGAAAATATGTAAAGTTTCAAATCCAGAGCCATTCACATAGAGGTGATTTGGAAGCTGTGAAAGTAATTTAAAGTAGAAAGTGCAGGATTAAGGACTGATTTTGAAGAAGTGTAATAGGAGAGAAAGGCAAGTAAAAAAGAATGAAAAAGGAACAAGGGGACAGGAGTCCATCCAAAAGTATGATAGGAACCAGAACAGTATAACAGTATATAAACCAATAGAAGGATGGGAGGTGATGGTTAACATTGTCAGGTGCTGCAGAGAGCAGAGAACACAATTGTGTTGATAGTATTGAGGAATTCAACCAGCAAAAATTAACATGGAACTTCCTATGGGCCAAGTTCTGGTGATCCAGAAAAGAATTAGGTACATACTCTGCATTAAACAGCAGAAAACCTAGTAATGATGAAAGACATTGAAATAATTTAATACATGCAGCAACTTTAAAAAATCCAGAGTAAGATGGAATTTCTTACACTGAATTGGTACCTTTGTTTCTAAAGCTTAAATTGCTTTATAGTTCATAAACATGGGCAACTTAATTGAGCTCCTTTTCTTTTTTCCCTAGACAATGGCCAAGAGCAAACTAAGAGGACAGAGGTCCAGGAATGTATTTCATATAGCCAGCCAAAAAAACTTTAAGACTAAAAACAAAGCAAAACCAGTTACCACTAATCTTAAGAAGGTGAGTATTATTAAGTACTCCGACATTATTGTTCACAAGCAAAGCATAGTTGTAAAGTCACAGAAAAACTGAAAGCTATTATTTAAAATATATTCTTATTCTTCTTCACAAAGGCAAGATAATTTTAAACATTTATTTTTTTTTTAAATGAAGAAAAATTGGGGCATCTGGTTGGCTCAGTCGGTTGAGTGTCCGACTTCGGCACAGGTATTGATCTCTCAGTTCGTGGGTTCAATCCCTGTGTTGGGCTCTGTGCTGACAGCCAGCTCAGAGCCTGGAGCCTGTTTCAGATTCTGTGTCTCCCTCTCTCTCTGACCCTCCCCTGCTCACACTGTCTCTCTCTCTCTCGGAAATAAATAAAATATTTTTTAAAACTTTTTTAAAGAAAAATTACCTCCCTCTCTTGATGTATATGTATGAAAAGAAAAAAACACTTTTTTTTTTTTAAGAGAGAGAAAGCCCGTGAATGAGGGAGAGGGCCAGAGGGGGGGAGAGAACATTAGCAGGTTCCACACTCAGCGTAGAGCCTGACACAGGGCTCAGTCCCACAACCCTGGGATCATGACCTGTGGTAAAAATCAAGAGTCAGACACCTGACCACTGAGCCAACCAGGCGCCCCAAGAAGAAATCACTTTAATTGCAAATGCATGAGACTCCAAAGAACAGTTTTGAAAGCTTTATCAGAGCACAGAATTTATCCAAAACCATAGTATGGGAAATAGTTCTGATCTCTGACCCTAAGTATATTCAAGATCCTCTTAACAGAGCCAAGACATGAAATGCTTATCAGCACCCCTTCTTTTTCTTCTCAGTAATTCTTATCTCCGTGATATCTGGAACTCACACAAATTTCTATAAAGTGAAGATAAGATACTTTCTTAAAGTGCAAAATCGGGGAAAAAGGGGTTTATCATTTTTATTTTTTGTGTTTTTTCTAAAAATATATGGGAAATGAGAAATTTCTTCTTCAACATTAAGTAAATTCTTTAAGGAAATTCTTCAAGAAAATGTTTTCAAGTTTTAGTAGGTGGAGTCAGCTCTCCAGGACTTTGTAATTGGCATAATAGTCAAAGAAATGTAACATTTTATCTTTCAGTTTTCATGAACTAGTGAAGTTAAGCATTTTGATCCAGCATTTTTATGACTTAGTAAATGCTATAAAGGAAAATAAAGCTAGGTGATATGATAGAGTAGGGAGTGACAGTTTACACAGGCTTGCCTTCAAAGTTGACATTCAAGCCAAGATTCAGATGGTAGAGAGCAGGTAATGTTGCAGGATTTTTTTTACCTCAATACCCAGGGTTTGTGTTCACGCCACTTCAAAGAATGAAGAGGTAGACAAAAAATGAGCGGCAGGCAAACATTTATTAGAGTAAAAGAGCAGAAAAGAAGAGTAGGAGGAAAGCTCTCTTTACAGAGAGGGGACATTCAAAGTGAATGCCTGAGGACTATAGTCAAGGGTCCTTGTTTTATAAGGTCTGGTCACTCCCCTTCCCCTTATTCCTTCTCAGATTTTACCTTAATTGGCTTGCAACTCCAGGTGCTGGGTTGTCCATACCTGATTAGTTCATTTCCTTTGTACCAGGTGGCCTATGGCCATACTTAGGTCTTTTGTCAAATTCCTGAGGGAAGCCTGAAGGGGAGTAGGTGGGGTCTGTTACATTCTTAAGAGGAACCTTATGCCTGAGAGGTTTCTGGGGTCAGACACTCCCAGGATTGTTCTAAAATATGTGCTTTTCCCTACTGGGGACCTCAGGCCCTAATCCTTCCCTCTGCCTCTCTGCCTTCTGAACCCTATCTTTTCCTGTCCTAGTAATATAAGGCCCTGAAAAGTGTTGGGAGCAGCATACTTTAGGCAGAGAGAATAGCAAATGCAAAGGCCCTGTGCCGGGGAAAAACTTGGTATGTTTGAGTGACAGGAGATCATTTTGTTTGAATAGAAGTACTAGAAGCTTTATGTATGCTAAAGGAAAGATCGAAGAGAGGGAAATCTGGGTAGGCAGCCTGGTTGGAGAAGGTATCAAAGTTTTCTCAGAAAGTGGCCTAACTTACTTACTAAGTGGAGGTCATAAGATTGCCAAGCACTATATAAATGGTAAATTGAAGTTTGTGGTAATGAATTTAAAGTGAAGCCAGCCAGTCAGATTTTCTACAGATTCAATTTTAGGCTCAGAAAAAGCTGTTAGTTGAGCTTAACTAGTTTGTCAAGCAGGTTTGATTAAGGAAGAGAAGGAAAGTTAATAGAGTAAAGGAGTGATTGATTAAATAATGGTCATGGAATCTGGGCTGGCTAAAGGAAGAAGTGAGGATATGGAAAAGTGAAAAATAGAGAAATTGGTGGGAGAAGATTTCAGGAAGACTGAAGAATTGTTAATAAGCCAAGTGAACTAGAAGAACAGGAGGTGGTGTGGTTACAAGTAATGATGTAGCCAAAGGTAATCCATGGGAGTGGGTGGCTGAGGTAGGTAGTGGAAAAGAACCTGGAGTTGAGGACCTGAACAGACTAAGAAGCTATAGGATTAGGTTTTTGTTGAAGCTCCTAACCAGGCATGAGAGAGGTCAGTGAACTGAGTTTTGAGATCTTTCATGAGGGAGCAAGTAAATGTGTTGACAGGTGACAGTAAAGAGGAAAGAGGTATTAGAATATTCTGATGCATTCGGTGCAGAGTTTTCAAGGAGAAATGGTTTGAGAGCAACAGGGAAGAACAAGAAGATTAAAGAGAGGAGGGCTGCAAGGGAAGTTGTCCTCGGGAGACTGGAAGGGGCTTCCATTAAGGCAAGAAGGTCAAGGAAGGATTCTGAGATGGACTGTTACAAGGAGTCTAAACTGGGGCACCTGGCTGGCTCAGCCAGTAAAGTGTGTGACTCTTACTGTCAGGGTTGTAAGTTTGAGCCCCACGTTGGGTATGGAGCTTACTTTAAAAAAAGAAAAAAAAAGAGTAAAGCATTTGATCCAGGTTCCTCCTTTTACCATGAGAGTTGACTTGTGGTCATGTTTTTTAGTGTGTCTGTACCAAATCGAAATGTGATGTCTGTCCACATAATTCTTATTTGTAAAAAACTAGAACCTTTTGTGTGAAATTTCCCAATAAGACCATAAGAATTTTTTTTGTAAATTATCTCCACAAATGGGTAGGATTGATGAAGTTTTAGGTTTTTAGGTTTAACAGATTAAATTAATGTTGCATATATTTTATTGTTTATGGTTACAAGATTGTAGATTATTGCCTTTTTTCTTTTTTAAAAGATAAACATTGTGAATGATGAAAAAGTTAACAGAGTGAATAAAGCTTTTGTAGATATACAAAAGGAACTTGCACATTTCTCCAAAGGACTTTCCCTTGAACCTCTGCAGAAACAGCTGGTGAGTAGGAATCATTTCCTTTTGTTACAGCTAATAAGCTAAACTCCAACTTTTTAAAGCTTGTAATTCGAATGTAATTTTTACTATTTGGCTCTCTACTATCCTTGGCTCTGTAGTACATAAAGCATATTGAGTCATTCAGACTCTAAGACATCAAGTCTGAATATGAGTATTTATTGTTCTACTTCCAAAGGTATGACTAGAAGATGGAAAGTTAGATAATAGATTATATACAAGTCATTTTTGTTCACTGTTCTTATCTACATTTTTAAATACAATATTTTTCTCCCTTCAGATTCCTCCGCAGTGTCATGAAAATGAACCAGTTAATGTTGATGAAGCGACAAGATTAATGGCCCAATTGTAAGACACTGGTGATCCATCAAATACCCCAAAAAGACCAATAAATTAAATGTTTTATACAGTTTTATTTTTAAAAATCTTGTTAATGTACAGGCATTGGCACATTTTTAAAACAAACTACATAAACAGATCTTTCCTATAATCTAGGAAAGTGGAATGTCAGAAGTCAACAAAATGTGATAAACTTAAAGTGCTAAAACAGAAGGCACTTCACAAAATCTGTTCACTGAAACAGTTAATATATCCTAGTTTACATCCTTCACTTTATAAGTGGCAGTGAATGTGTGTTTAGATTGGAGGACACACAGAAATATGGACAGTTTCTTGGCAGTAAAAAAATATAAGACAAGGAATGAGTTGCTGACCAACTTTTTTTGTTTTTGATGACCTTGGTCTACTTTAACATTCCTCTCATAAGAGGGGAAGAAAACAGAAGGATTCAGAATTGGAAGAAAAGGTAAAATCCCAGAATGTAATTACTTAAGGTAGGGAGGGGAATTTGTGGGTATTAAATCACTTTTTCCCCTGAAAAAAACCCTTTGTTTTTATGGTTGAAAAGAGCCCTTTGTTTTTATGGTTGAAGTTTTGTGAAGTAAAAAAGACATTATTAGAGAACACTTCAGAATCAGTGAACTAAAAAGGTGTTACATTCATTATTTTAAATACTTAGGTTATTAAGAAGTCTAAAATGTTACAGTTAGAGGTAGATAACAGTCCCAAGTTTCCGTGGAATCTAATAATTTAGTATCTGGACATCAAACAGATCGCAAACTCCTTCATTATCATCTAAATTAAAGTTGTAGTCATCTGCCGGGGTAGGAGAAAGCCGTAAGAGAGGAAACACTGCAAGTAAAACAAATTCAGTCTTAAACATGGTTTTTATATACAGTTAATGATGTTTAACAGAATACTTTCAAATATATCTATCTAAATTAAAGTATGTTTCTTAGTGTTATATAAGAACAAGTTGTATATAATAGAAAAAGTTGTAATCAAATTAATGACCTGTGTTCATTTTGAAAGATTCTCATTTAAAGATAATTTATGCATTGGTATGCATAGGTACAGCTTGAGAAATAGAGGTTAAAATTTTTCTAGGTTGAACTTGTCACACTAAAATGTATAACTCAAAAACACTGGTCAAAGTATTTCCTCTGATCTCTGCTAAATAAGCTACTGCTTTGAAAAGAGAAATAGGAACTAGACTTCATAAATATGCTGATGTTCTGTTTCTACAGAAATGTTTATTCTCTAAGTGGTTAGTGTACCATTTGCTAATTTAACAGTTGCAGCTTTCTAGGTTTGGTTATATTTGTTAGGAACCAGGACTGAATCCAAGAAAGTGAAGCCAAGAGAGTTATTAATGATTATATTTTATAGCAACTGATTTTAAAGGATTATTTCAGATTAGATGATGACATGGCTAATGTTAGTAATAGTTCAGTGACTTCACATTGGTAGCTTGAAATTGGCCTTTGTGGGGATATTTACAAAACTGTGTTTTGAGATTACCTATATATTATTTTACTTTTCTTGGCCAAATTCTTCAGACATGAAAAAGCCTAGTGTGCTAACAGTTTAGAAGTTTATTCAGTGAGGGTGGTAAGTATCCCCTTAACAGCCTTTTTTTTCCTTGAAATGCAGGAAAATAATTCTGAAGGATGCCTATGATTTACTTTAAAGTGGGAGATTTTTCATAAATCATCATAGTATGTTAAGCAGTTAAAAAATATGTTTTGCATTTCTTTTAAATCTTGTGCCATTTATAAATTCTAGAAAAGCATTATTGATGCTTAAATAGTAAAATTTTAAACTACTTACCATCAGAAGACATTAACTCATCAATGATATCTCCACTAATAGATCCTGCTAGAAATAGAAATGTGATATTTGTTACAGTTCTATTTATATTTTTACAGTACAAGGCAATTACTTAAGGAAGCCTAGCAGTTAAGTGTCCAACTCTTGATTTTGGCTCAGGTCACGATCTTACAGTTCATGGGATCGAGCCTCACATTGGTTTCCACGCTGACAGCATGGAGCCTGCTTGGGATTCTCTCTCTCTCTCTCTCTCTCTCTCTCTCTCTCTCTCTCTCTCCCCCTCCCTCCCCTTCTCCCTCTCTGCACCTTCCCCACTCATGTGCATGCACATGTGCACATTGTCTCTCTCTCTCTCTCTCTCTCTCAAAATAAACTTTTTTAAAAAGACAGTTATGGGACCAGGTGGCTCAGTTGGTTAAGCATCCAGCTTGGGCTCAGGTCATGATCTCGAGGTTCATGAATGAGTTCAAGCACCGCATCGGTCTCTGTGCCGACAAGCTCAGAGCCTGGAGCCTGCTTCAGATTCTATGTCTCCCCCTCTCTCTGGCCCGCCCTCCCTCCCTCCCTCTCTCTCTGACTCACTCTCTCTCAAAAAAATAAAGAAAGAAAAGGCAGTTATTTAAACACAGTATATAATAAAGTTAATTTAAACACTGGCAGCTTGATCAACAGCATAATATTAAAGTATAGAACTTTACAGAAAGATAACATTTCCATGAGCACCTACTCTGTGCTTGGCATTACTTTTAACTTCTAAACTCAAGATGTAGATCAAAAGACTGCTCATCATTCTCCCAAAACTGACTCCTTGGTTTTATAAAGTCAGTAGTACTGTAATTCTCCCAGTCACCCAAACTCTAAACTTCAACGTCACTTTCCATTCCTCTAGTTAAATTTATCTCCAGATCGCACACATCAAAGTTACTTATTTTATTTTACCTCAACAGTATTTCTCAAATCTCTTATTTCTCTTTCCCACTCCATTGTTAATACCCATCTTAGCCTTAATGTTGTTCTTTTATAGTTGCATAACTGCAGACACCATATCTTCATTCTCCAGTGCCTCTAATCTCTTAAGGCCAAATGCATCTTCTTCCCCAATCATGTTACTCCTCTGCTTACCATGTACCCTGCTCACAAATCTTCACTGGCTTGTCAGCTAAAGTTCCAACTCAATCTGATATTCAAGGTCCTCTCTAATATCTGATCCCAAATTAACTTTCTCTACTATTTTCAAGTACAAAACCATATACAGAAACTGCTGAAAATTTTTTTAATGCTTTGTGGAAGCTGCCCTTCTAGTGGTGTCTAGATTTCCCTGTCTTTAGATTTGTCCCCATTAATTATAATTAGGTCATAAGCTTTTTAAGGAGTGCACTTTCTGTTGTGTATCCCCCATTCTATATCTTTAAATACAGAAATACTTCTAGAGGAAGAAAAGGAGGCCAAGAAGCTGAAAAATATTCTGTGTCCAGTTAGATCACAATAGTCTCACTCTTAACTATTATGAACTCACAGAATAGTAAGACTCATGCCACATTCCAATGAGACACATCCCAAAGGTAAAGTAAACAAATTGGATTGTGTACAATGTAGCTTTTAATGATCTACAGTATTACATCTAGACTGGCATGACTCAGTCATTCATTCAACAACTCATTCAGATATTGAGAGAATATCTGCCATGGGCCCTTTATTTGGAATCAGTAAGGAGTTGCTAAATACTAGCCATGTAATCATGGAAAAAAAATTGGGCAACAAGGGAACTTTTATAATTTAGATGTAGACCCTATCCCTAGTGCCCAGTTTGGGGAGATTTAGCTATTTTCATTTCAGATTAAACAATTTAGGAAGGCAAGATTTCCTAACTTGGAGTTGAGACCGTTTATCAACTCTATAAAACTAAACTTTCCTAATAAAAAGTATAACAAGGAATATGAAGAGAGGAGGCAAACGTCGCTATATTCTACACTAGTTCGATTTTTCTTAAAGGTAATTAGGACACATTCCAGTAATCCTAGAGTGACAGAGATGAAAGAACCTTACAAAGTAAACCTCTGATTTAAAAAGTTGATATATGTAAATAGTAATGGGGGGAAATGAACAAATTTTGATCAGTTTTGAACATGGAATTCTAAGGAAAACTGCATTCTTAAGCCCATTAACTATCCTTTCCTTGCTCACTATTTATAATTCTATATAGTCTTGGCCATATTATACTGTATCCAATTATATATGCTGAATATACAATCACATTGTGTGTGTATATCCCCTAAGAAACAAATCCGTGGTAATAGAAAATTAAAGGCACAATCTGTTTTTAAATCTTTCTCATAATACCTACCCCAGTGTCTCTTGTGTAGGTGACACTAAATACTTGCTAAGCTTACCATGTTTCCTCCCGTGTTTGGTAACAGAATGACCATGGCTGACAAATTCAGCTTTCTAACTTACTTAAATACGGTATTCCTATTTTTCCTTCTCTACTTTTTAAAACAAAGGCTCTAACCCACCTGATGATAAGTCTGTCGCCGGTGTCTGTTGAAGATTCTGGTTTCTTTCGGAGACATGTTGCTCAGGCAGATTCTGAGTTGCTATGTTGGATTTCTGTGGAGTCACTGGAGTGGAGGGCTGAGAGGAGGGCTGTGTGAGGTCATCAGGTGGGGGAACGGGAAAAACCACAGGCTTAGACGAATTGGATTCTTTATTTATAAGCAGCACGTGGATAGGTCCTGAATGACTCTTTAGATTGATCTGGTATTTCTTTTGTCCATTCTGACCCTTTAAGGTTATTAGGTATAAACAAATGAATAAATATTAACATTTCTAACTACTTGAAACATTAAAAATTAAGATAAGCAAAGCTATAAGAAACTATATATATATATATATATATATATATATATGTAACATAGAATTCTACATAGCATAGAGTCAGTAAACCTCTTTGACTCAACTAGAGAATGTTTTGAAAAAGACCCAATTTAAAGCAATCTGTTATGATGGATACTTAGGTTGAACTTTTTCCTCAGCCAGGATCGCTGTATCAGTTATATAGTCATTTTAACTGATTTTTTAAAAGATTATTGACGATATCATTACTTCTCCCTTAATATTTTCTAGCTCAAAAAATCACATTAAAAAACAGTCAAAATGTTAAATGATTTATTCAGTCACTTCTATAATTTTACTAAAGTTACTAAAGGCATCCAAACTCAGATATAAATACTTTCAGATAGAAAACTTGAAAGCAGTATTTGGAAGTGATTACACACAATTAGCTCTTGTTCAGCGAAAGAGAATAATACATTTGTCCATAAAACAGTAGATCCACATTAAGAAAAGTTACCCTACATACCATTTCTGGAATAGGTACCTCCAGCTGTGTACCAGAAGGTGCTTGAATGGCCAAAAGTGTATCGCCTGATGAAAAAGAAATTAATTGTAGAAAATACTATTGATTTTGGAATACAGTGACAAGCATGTGATCTCTGGAGTCAGAATGCTTGGGTTTGAATCCCAGGCTAGTGACCTTGGGCTTTGGTTCCTAATTCTGTAAAATGGGGAAAATAAAACTTACTGCACAGACTTCTTTTGAGGATTAGATGAGGTGATATATGTAATAGTAGATCTGAGAAGATGGTAAATACTCGTCGTTAGCTCTCTTCTCATGAACAAATTCAATTTGTCAAGTTAATTTTGCTTTCATTGAGGCTTGCATAAAGTCTGAAATTCCTAGAACTCTTAGCCTCAAATAACACTGTTCACTTGAGATTTTTAAATTACTTAAGTGCCTAGGAATACTAGAAATTAGGTATGATAGTGTGAAATCTTGAGCTTAAGTGAACTTAATTTTAAAGCGAAATTCTACAGCAGATTGTTGAGCTGAAGATTTAAAAAGACTTTCTCGAACTTTCTTAGGAAGCTCAGGACATATGGTGGCAGAGTAAAGCAATAAGGCCATACACATTGCCAACATAGTCTTGGAAAGCCAGATGTCACTCGGCAGATTTTTTTTTTATGTGCATAATACGCAAGGTTGTTTAATAGGCCATATGTAACATAAATATGTATACAAAATTTCATTTTACTTGTATTATAATTATGGTGTACAGCACTCCCCCTCCCCCACCCCACACTGATGTTATTAATACACTGTATTGTCCTCTCAAGGGGAAAACACAGAGACAGGGGATAGAATAGGATTAGGAGTAATTGTCCTGGCTATAAAATGGATTCACCTAACTCTGCCCTCATGCTTTCTTTGAGTTCATTTAGTGACCAGCACACTGCACACATAGTTTCTAAACACTGCCAATGAGAACTATGTTTTGATCAAATTTGGTCACTGACTCTCCAAGTCTGTGGCTTTGAAACTGTTGTTTAATCTCCCTCTGATTTAGCTGCCCCTCCCACACACAGTTTACACCCCACCAATGCAGGCAATGAAGTGAAAACTATGAAAAGCAGTCACTGTCATGAGAACAGAAACAAAGGCAGCCTATCACTACAGAGCACTGTAGAGTGACACAGAAAGTCCACAGTTCCTGAAACTAATGACTTAGGGTGGGTGTGGGGAATTTTGAATCACTATCCACTAAATAAGTTGATCAGAGGAAGAACGTTACAACAAACTAACAGTACTTACCATTAAAGCAATTACAGATGTCTTCATGAGTTACATAGGAAAATGTACTGTCATAAGGGTTAAGGAACAACATGTATACCAAGGTCTAGGCATTTACATGAAGATAATAGATCTGCAGGCCAAAATAAACAAAATGACCAAACGCATGAAGGTGTTGCCACACATGGTCAGACCAAAAAAAAAAAAAGGGACATCTTTAGTCTGAAAAGGTGAAGACAAAGGTCCAGGAGAGGGGTGTCCATCCTCTGCTCTGAAGAGACCACTTTTAATTTTTGTGACATTTGAGGACCTTTGAGAGAGATGTGAAAAACAGTGCATATTCTTCATGGAGACGGCTTTTAGGGGGGAAAGATAGTGGGGAAAAGGAGGCTATCAGCAGGAGTGGAGAGCAGCCATACATGCCTCCTCATTGAGAATCTTCCTGGATCATGGTTTAGGGAACTGGTAATGGACAGAATCTTGTAAAGCAGTGCAGCAAAGTCTACGACCAGCTAGTTCAATGGTTTTTATATCTTGGGGCTCCACAAGGTACAGTTTGAAGACCCCATTTAAGTTATTAAATTGTTAAGGAGCTTTGATCCATAGAAAAGAAATAAATGAGATCATGGACTTCTTCAACAAATTACAAAACATAAAACATTAATTGTATACGGTAGTCAAAAATTCATGAGGGGTGGTAGAAGATAAATGCCATTAAGAGATTCCACAAGTGTATAGGTACATTCACAAATCAAGAGTATCATGGGTATCTAAGAGAACAGTGGTTTTTAGGAAACACATCACTAATTTTTTCCTGCAACTTAATAAGATAGATATATAAGCCTTGGTCCCCAACCTCAAGTAGATAGTCTCTTCAGTTAATATTAGACAGAAAGTATCTGGATTGATTGCCAGCACATGATATTTTATTTTCAAGCTAAAATTAATTTTTCAAAACTTTGAGAGTTAGTGAATTTTTACCACTTCAGAACACTGAACAAAATAATATTTAAATATACCTATGCATTTAACAATTCCTTCTAATATTCAGAGACCTCCTAAGCACACTTTAGCTAGCATGTTGCATCCTACTACTGGTAGGTTGAAAGTAGATGACTTTTTTTTCTCAATGCAACACAGGAATAATATTAATAGATGTACTTTGTAATTTTCAGAGGTAAAAACTTTCAAATATTAGTGTAAATTATTAGAATAATATTGTAAAATTAAAATACTGTATCCACTTAGAAAACTTTCTGAAACATTAGAATAAAGTACCTGATCTTCAGACTGGAAGAATGCATTATACAAATATATATACTACAGCTATATGTGTAACTTATTTAAAAGGATATCTATTATTAATGGAGTCGTCCATCACATTTTTGATGCTTTGCTGTAGCCACAACTTCTGCTGATCAAGTTCTCTTTCCTTCAGTTCTAGATCTTCAATTTCAGCTTTAAGATATCTTAATCTATCTAGGACTTCTTTAGTATTACAGCCAGCACCTACACCTCTTAAAAACATATGAGAATCAATATATCCAGTATCAGACCCAGGTTGACATCACTTAATTTTTATAGTAATAAAACTGAATTAGCAATCTAGTCAAGACAAAAATCTTTATGCTAGTCTAAAACTCAAGCATTAAAATCCTTAGAAAATTTAAACATCGCACCTCTGAACATACTCGCTTAGAAAATTTATTGGCAAAAAACAGTCGAATCACAAAAGTTCTCAGTGTTTTTGCCATATAGAAAATAAAAATTTTTATAAAGTCAAAAAAAGTTCTCATTATGTTTCTAGAATGGTGTTTGTCATCTGGAAGGGCAGGCTAGTGATGAGCACCAAAAGGATGTCAAAGCTGAGGCACATGGGTGGTTCAGGCAGCTGAGCGTCTGAGTTCAGCTCAGGTCATGATCTCATGGCTCACGGGTTCAAGTCCCATGTAGGGCACAGAGCCTGCTTGAGATTCTCTCCCACTCCCCCTCCCCCATTCTTCCCCCATTCATTGCTCTCTCTGTCTCAAAATAAATAAGAGGGAAAAAAGGATGTCAAAACTATATAGTTACACCTGGAAGTCTCATGATGTAGACTGAGATGCTGGTAAATTACAACCTTTTAACATTTTGGTGAGACTCTGGCTTTAAAACAGAACAAAACAAGACAACAACAACAACAACAAAAAACTAAGGCCAAAGAGGACAAATGTGCAGAACAAAGTATTTTTCACATTCAAACATACGAACATTCAACAGTTAACAAATGACAACATGCATTTCAACCAGCTACTGTATAAGGTACATATTCCTATATATAGGACATAGTTCCTGTTCTAAAGGAGTGTATATTAGTTGGGAAGCTAAACACTTAGGTAGAGAGGGATTAATAATACAAAGCAGTATGCAGTGTGTGCCAGATGAGTAGCTTGAGGAAGAAAATAAAATTTGAATTTTCAGAGTAAATCAGTGAAGAGAGCAAGGGAATGTCCCAACACAGGAGTGCCATACATAGGCTCAGAGCAGTGTCCAAGGAAAGATGAGGCCTGTTGAGAATAGAGGACCAAGAGAGAGGGAGAGCCAAATGGTAGGTCAGATTTTACAGAGCATTAGGAAGAGAAATAAAGATTTTAAAGTGGGGTATTGGTTTGCAACTTACTTCCATTGTATACTATTTTTTGACTTTTTTTCAATCAGATCAATTCCCTCTAAGACATTGGTGATATCATAAATTCTTCTTTTTTGCCTCACAGCCAAAGTATCTGCAGCCTGTTTTTAAAAAGGGGAGGGGGGGAGACAAAGAACAATGAAATAAAGGGCAATTCCTATTTTAAAGCCAAAAAGGGTTGATTATTAAGTTCACAGCATGAGAACCCAATTCCAAATTTGACCTGGTCACTTGCCTGAAAACAATAGCTGGGTATGTTGAAAGCATCTCTCAAACATTGCAAATGCCAAAGAAGTTAACCCAATTAAAAGCCAGCAGATGTTAGAATAGGAAAAAACTATATGAAGGGTCATGACACAGAGCCCACAGAAATAAAAAGAACACAGTAAGAATACTTCATGTCACCTTACGGACTAATCCTGAGGAGGTGCTCTTAAGTATCTACCACGTGACTTCCTAGTTTATCTGTTCATAAACAGTCACTTATAAACAGCCCTTATTGTTTTTTGGAACTTTGAAAAATTATATCTCAGCAACTTGTTCATAACTAGATATTTGGGGAATTCTAAATTATACACAAACTTTCAGTGCCTTGAAATACACTATCTGCCTTTTTTAAACTCAATGAAAATGGAGGAGTGATTCATGCCATCCCAACACAAAGCATAAAATCAACAAGAAATCAAAATGCATAGCACAAAGTTGTGGTACCAGCAAATATACAAAAGCTTGGTAGTCTCACTCAACAAAAGTAAGGTCAACAAAAAGATTTCATGCCATCATGACATCAATAAATGTGGGAACGCTGTACTGTTTCTCTGGTTGGTTCCCACTCACATTTATGAGCTTTGTTCCCCAGTGGAACAGACAGAATCTTATAAAAGAGGTTATTCTACAGCTCTTTTTCCAGGGCGAGTTAGACAATACTGTCTTGAATGTGGAGTCATGTTATAAGGGTCATGGTAGTAATGAAAAAACACATTTATGTCCTTACAATATTCAGCACACTATCCAAATTAAGGAACAGATTTTAGCTTCATATAATTGGTTACCCCAGCTCTCCCGAGGCATTAATACTTTCTTGATTCTTAAAAAAACATAGCTACACACACACACACACACACACACACACAATCCAGGACAGCATATTGTTTGCAATCTGGACTTTCTTTCTACAGGGAGCAAGTGTGACCAACTTCACAGGCATTTAATGTCAATTATATGAATCCATTTATTGTGCTACCAAAATACCAATGTACCACTGTGCAATCATTCAGATCTTCAGGAAGGGGAATCATGCCTCAATCAGTGAGTGGGCCAGGAGAGTAAGTAGGGCATGACAGAGAGAATGAAGAACCAGGAACTGAAGCTGAGTCTCCAACTGACTAGTTTGGTTCTGTCTCTTCTAGAGAACCAAAAAATTAAAAGTAGGACTAAGCATGGTTTCATTGATTTTCTCTTTCCTTGTACTTAGTTTCCTCCCCTTCATAAAGTTTCTTGAGTGTTTTGAGGCTGTTTTTCTAAAGAGCAATAATCTCCTGCAAAGTTAACTATAAAAATCTGAAGTTGAGGATTCATTTCTCACTTCCCTCTGAAGAGGCCCACTTAAGAAGTAACCCAGAGGACTCCAAGCCAGCTCTACGTTATCCACATCCATGTACTCACACACAAAAGCCTTCACAACCATAGCAATAGTTCACTGGTTAGGGTATTAAGACATGTTTGTATAAACTAGATTGTAAGAGTCATCCAGGCAGAGAGGCACCAATGCTCGCTTTTAATTCAAAACTTTTTAGAGTTTATAATCTATCAGGGCACTGAGGTGGTTCAGTCAGTTAAGCGTCTGATTCTTGATCGCAGTTCAGGTCATGATTTCACAGTTGTGAATGGAGTCCCACGTCAGGATTCTCTCTCTCTCTTTCTCTCTGTCTCTCTTTTTCTCTCTCTCTCTCTGTCACCCCATCAACATAAATAACATTTTTTTAAAAAAGAAAAAAGTTTATAATCTAGTTTATAATTTATTATGGTTTAACAGATTTTAGTCCTTTCACTTCCAAAACTAAACATTATTTCTTACTTTTCTATTTAAGTTTATAAACACATTAAGGACCAGCATATACAGAAGATATCACTTTAAAAGGATCTCCTGGAGGCTTTTATTCAGTAGCCCCATCTTCTCTGGATGTTAGGTTCTGGAGTTAGGCACACAGAGATCCAATCCCAGTGCCCACACTTCCTGTCTTCAGCTGCTCTCAAACTCATTAAGCCTCATTTCCCTTTTTGTAAAATGGAGTAATGACATATCTGAATTGTAGAGATTAAACTAGATAATCTTTGGGGCGCCTGGGTGGCTTAGTCGGTTAAGGGTCCGACTTTCGCTTAGGTTATGATCTCGCGGTTCGTGGGTTCGAGCCCCGCGTCGGGCTCTGTGCTGACTGCCAGCTCAGAGCCTAGAGCCTGTTTCAGTCTGTGTCTCCCTCTCTCTCTGACCCTCCCCTGCTCACGCTGTCTCTCTCTCTCTCCTAGAAATAAAATAAAAACATTTAAAAAAAAATTAAACTATAATCTTAGCACAATGTCTGCTGCATAATGAATACTTCAATGCTGGTAAGTAACAGCATCATCAAGTACAGACTGAAGCAGGGGATCGTGGATGAGATTTAGAGTTGTTGTGTATATGGACCCATCACATTGTATGTAGTATTTTGAAAATTTGTGTGAAATCTTATAGTTTTATGAAGAATTCAAGACATCATACTTAACAGAATCATAAAATGAATCACAACCACCACCTTCATTTGTTTAGCACCTATGATGTGCCAAGCTTGTTCTGTGTCTCGTGGATAGAGTAGTAATAGAACAAAATCCCTGCCTTCAAAGAAGGGAAAGAAGTTAATAGTAAACAAATAATTGTGGTAGGAATGCATGTAGGGACTATAGTTAACAATTTTAAATAAAGTTCCCTAAATAAGGTAGCATTTGAACTGAATGTAGAAAGTGACCTCTGAGAACATCTGACAGGAAGCAGCAAGTACAAAGAAAGGCTCTGAAGTGGGAATATGCTTACATCTTGAAGGAAAGACAGGCAAGCCAATATGGTCAGAACAGTGAGTGAGAGGGAGAACAGTGAGAGAAAAGGTGAAAAAGGAAAAGAGGGAGAGAATCTGGAAGAGATGGTGGGAAGAGAAGTGAGAGAGATAAAGACAATAACACCATATATCAAGAGGCCAGATCATGAGGGTCTTGCAGGCCATGGTAAAAACTTCAGCTCGTACTCCCAGTGGAAAGCCACTGGAAGGCTCCGAGCACATGGATTTGGTGCCATGCTTTAAAAGGTTCTTTCTGGCTGTTCTGGGTAGGAAAAAAGAGGCCAGTGAGAAGGCAATGGCAGTAACCCATTCAAGAGATGGTAGTGGCTTGGATGAAGGAGATAGCTGTGGACTTATTAGAAATGCTGAGAATCAGAATATATTTTGAAGGTATAGCAAGCAGTAGATCCGAGAGCAAAGTCAAGTGTAACTCAACAGTTTATGACATGAGCAACAGGCCATGAGGAAGACTGCAGAAGAATAGGTTTGAGGCACCAGAAATCAGGAACTTAGCTTTGGACAATTTGACCTCCAATGGGAGAAGTTCAGAAGACCACTGGACACAAGAGGGTGTGGCGTAAAACAAGTCCAGAGATACAAATTCAGTAGTCATCAGTAAAGAGACATTTTAGGTCACAGGGATGGAACCCACTGGATTCACCTAAGAAGTAAGCACAGAAAGAGAAGATGTCTAGGGGCTGCCCCCAGCATACTCCATTGTTTATGATCTGAGAAGTGAGGAGCAACTTGCCACTGAAGAGAGAGAGGTAGAAAAAGTGGGGCCTTGGAAGCCAAGGGAAGAGTACAAGAGTGACCATGTCAAGGACTGCTGTCAGGGTGAGTCAGATGAGCAGGTGAGACCTGATCATGGATTTGACTTTGGCAAGGTCACTGGTGACCCTGGTCAGAGCTGTCTTGGCAGAGTAATGGAGTCAAAGCCTTAATGAAGAGATCCCAACAAAGAGTGGAAGGAAAGCTAGAGTGGGTAACTCTTCAAGAGTTCTGCTGCACCCACCCTCCTACACTGTTGGTGGGGATGTAAACTGGTGCAGCCCCTCTGGAAAACAGTGTGGAGGTTCCTCAGGAAACTAACAATAGAACTCCCCTATGACCCAGCAATAGCACTGCTAGGAATTTACCCAAGGGATAAAGAAATGCTGAAGCATAGGAGCACATGAACCCCAATGTTCAAAGCAGCACTCTCCACAATAGCTAAAACATGGAAACAGCTTAAGTGTCCATCATTGGACGAATGGATCAAGAAGATGTGGTTTATCTATACAATGGAATACTACATGGCAATGAGAAAGAATGAAATCTGGCCATGTGTAGCAACATGGATGGAACTTGAGGGTGTTATGCTGAGCGAAATAGGCAGAGAACAGATACCATATGTTTGCACGTATAGGAGGATTAGGAGGAACTTAACGGAGGACCATGGGGGAGGAGAAGGGGAAAAATAGTTGGGGAGAGGGAGGGAGGCAAACCATGAGAGACTCTTGAATGCTGAGAACAAACTGAGGACTGATGGGGGTGGGGGGAGGGGAATGGGGGTGATGGGCATGGTGGAGGGCACTGTGGGGATGAGCACTTGGTGTTATATGGAAACCAACTTGACAACAAACTATTTAAAAAATAAATAAATATTTTTAAAAGAAACACACACACACAAAATATTATGCTGAATAAAAAAAAAAGAGTTCTGCTGCATCCAGAAACAGAACAGAAGAATAGGACAATAGCTGCAGGGAGGTGTGGGGTCTGGCCAGGAAGCTTTTCCCCTTCCTTTCTCTTTTCTTTTAAAGATGGGAGCTAATTCAACATGTGAGTTATACTGATAAGAACTGTCCAGTAATGGGGGAAGAGGGATAATTAACCATGAAGGAGAGAGAAGGGACAGCTGTAGGTAGGCAAGGGGGAATGTGAATCAGACAGTCTGAGGAACAGCCTTAGATAATCACCAGACATATTAATAACTGAAGTCCAGCCAAGTGCCCGGTGCACATGCAGGT